TAGATGTTAGGCATATCAATTTTTTGACATCAAAATAAATTTGTTAATTCTATAGCTATAATCTTATTAAAAAAGTAACAATTTCAAGGTTATTAAATAACCTGTGTTTATTATTATTCTGATACGTTGTAACTCTGATAGTTTTGACGGTATTATTTTTTCAGTTTTGATTTCTAGAAAACTTATAAATTCCTTACTAATATAATACAACTAATTGTTTGTTTCTTTATTTACAGAAAATTTTTGTTCTTTCATTTGTGTTTAAAATCAACATTGGAGTTGTATGATTGCTGCGATTATTGTCGCTTAAATACATTGGAAAAATGGACAATCAAGGTTTTATGTGCGGATTCTGTAATCAAAGATTTCTACAACTTCATGATATTCAAGATCATCTTCAAAATTTTCATCATGCAGAGAGAAACGAGGGTCAAAGGTGTGGTATTAACAACTATCCATTAACTTATCGAAATCCCTTTTCTTTAAGAGCACATAGATCCAAAGTGCATCGGCGTGAAGTAATAATTAACGAAGAAATGCCTAACATACAAGAGCAGGAAAACGATGAACAACACGAAAATATCAACCATGCTGATATTCCTGATATACGAAACGAAGATATCTATAGAGAACATGCAAACGAAGAAGTCGATTTTGAACAGAGTTCAAATGACGATGAACATGAACAAAGCACAGATAACGATTATGATGATTATGATGATGACGATGATGATGATTATGATGAGGATGATGTGGATGATGATGATGAGGATGAGGATGATGGTGGTGTAAATAATAATCCGGGAATTAATGATGACAGAAAACGTTCTTTAGGTCGTTTTTTATTAATTCTGAGAGGAAATACTAATATTTCCGAAAAGCAAATAACAGATATACTAATATTGTTGCAAAATGTTGTAAGGACTTACGTAGGCCATTCACTTCATCGAGTTGAAGAAGTTTTAGAAGGAAGAGGAATACATTTTCGAGAATATTTTAATATAGATAATGAAATAGAGTCGACAGATTGCATTTTCGATTTAAACATGAAAGTGAAGCGTGCTGAGTATTTGAATAGTGAATTTAATGTTCTATTGCCAACTAGGCATACACTGGGTAGACGTTTTGTCAAATGTGGAAGTGCCGCTACAGGCAAAAGTCGTCCAACAAAGCGCAAGAAGGATGAAATGATGTTTATTCCTATTAGTAAAACGATTCAAAGATTTGCAGAAAATGATACTTTTCACTCTCTTCTCATCTATCGCGATTCACGAGAAGGCTATTTTTCATCTGTGGAAGATGGAAGTAGATACAAAAACGAAAGTTGGTGGAAAGAAAATGAACAAACGTTGCATATTAAATTATATTCAGATGAAGTGGACATGTGCGATGGTTTGGGGTCTAAATCATCTGGACAGCAAAAGTTAATGATGATTTACGGATCACTTACAGAAATAGATCCAGTATATCAGTCACAATTGCTGTTTAACTTCTTAGTGGCAATAGTAAGAGCCGAAGATGTGAAACGGTATGGTATGAACAAAATTTTAAAGCCTATTGTAGATGATATCAAAGTACTTGAAGAAGAAGTTGATGGTCCAAATAACACGTCTATAAAAGCAGGTTTATTTGCAACTATAGGTGACAATTTATCTCAAAATGGTACGTGTGGTTTAAAAGAGTCTTTTGGAAAAACTCTACATTGTTGCCGGTTTTGCCTTGCTGACCTTTCACAAATTCGAACATTAACTGAAGAAAAATTAGATCTCATTAGAAATCCTGAGGAACATGACAGGCAAGTTTTTGAAATTGAAAATGCTGAAGGAATTGAAAAGGATCAATTATCTACGGCCTATGGCATTAAGTTTAGAAGCATCTTGAATGAACTGAGCGGTTTTCATGTCACAGAAGGAGCACCAGTAGATATCGTTCACGATATTCTCTTATCACTTTTACCAAAAGCGTTACAACATTTCGCTCAAAAGGTTATTTTAAAAAAAATGTCTATTAAATCTTTGAACAAAAAGATACAGAATTTCGATTACGGTTACTCAGAGACAAAATATAAGCCTTCTCCTTTAAAAGCACAACATCTAATTCCAGGAGCAAACATAAAGCAAAATGCCATGCAAATGATGACATTAGGTTATATAATTCCGTTTATCGTTCAAGATATTGTAGAACCAAATTGCCCATATTTTTATAATTATAGAAATCTTTTGGAAATATCGATAATTGTTTTTGGTTACAGTATTAGTAATGAAATGGTAGAGTTTTTAAGTGACAGTATCGCGGAATATCTACAGGATTACGCAACTTTATACGGAGAAGATGGTGTCAATGCGACATTCACACCGAAACACCATTTCTTGACACATTATCCACGTTTGATAACCATTTTTGGACCGTTAAGGAATTTTATGTGCTTACGGTCTGAAGCTAAGCACCAAGAATCGAAACGTAGGGTTCAAGGAATGAGAAATTACAAAAATTTGCCATTGTACGTTGGCTGTAAGACATCAATTATCTCAGACTTTGGAACTTCTTGATCCCCTAACAAAGACTACTGACAGAGGTCCATTGAAAGTTGTAGCTACCGATAAACTACCTTTTTCCAATTTGTTTCCTTTGGAACCACTGCAATGCACGTTAAATTGGATTACATACAAAGGAGTAAAATATGTATCTCAAAAATGTTTAATTGCAACAGGATATGATGATGCTCAGTGTCTTCCTCATTTTGCGGCACTCTATAGCATCTTAATCAGAGGCGAAGACATCATTTTCATCTGCAAAAAAGTTCAAACTGTCGAGCACAATACAGATTTAGTGGCTTACGAAGTAATCATTGATCAAGAATTCATTTCTATCCACCCTGAAAATATTATAAACCATGAAATTTTCCACACACGAAAGTTAAAAAATAAGTTATACGTCACAGTCAAACATGGATTTGGAAATCTGTATTAGTTGTAATTAGAAATTGTTTTTCGTATTCATAATTTATAATCTTAAATTTTTAATAGATAATAAATTTAATTTATCTATAGAAAAATAAATGAAATTATTATTTTTTACTTTGTTATAGGTGCAGATAACATTTACTGTGTAATAAAAACTTAATTAATTAAATGTGTTATTCTTGACTAGTTTTTCTAACCTAATTATTATTATTTAAATCAGTTTTATCAAGAATATTTAAATATTCTTGAAATCTTCATTATTTTCTCACTTTTCATCAATGTTTTCTAAAAATAAAACGCATAACCTATAAGTACACAACAGCTTTCAGATATGTGCCAACTTCACGCCACTGTTCGCGGTCGACTTTTTTGCTTTCTCCTTTTTTTCTATTCAAATTGTTCCTTTTATTTAATATTAAATTGTTTATTGTGACTCATTTGAAATTACCTAAATTTTTATTTAGTTTCTCTAAAGTTAAGTTAATTAAAATAAAAATTGCCACTTCATAATGATATTGAAAAGAGCGACTGTAGCTCCATCTTCTAACTATGTATGAGTTTTTAAGGTACTATATTTCTTTTGATTTGGAAATGTGAGTGTGCCCTTCTATGTTTCATTTTCATTGCTATAACTGCGAGAGTACATTCGATTATTTTCGATTTAAATTCGAGATTTCTCACTCATGTCTTTTTTTCTAAGGGATTTTAGACATTGAAAACGATTGTTGATATGAAATAAGAGAAGAATACGTTTTTAAATTAAATATGTTATGCATTTAATCCAGTTGCATTGATAAATTATCAACATTTTTGATTAAATATAATTTTATAGGTTAGAAATGTTTGTTTACTTACTTGAAATCTTTTACTGCTTTGCTAATTTCCACTTAAAGTGTATGTTTTATAGGTTTTTTAATGAGATGCATACTGAATATAATTTTCACTGATATTTTTTCTAAAAATATCGATCTACACAGTTAAATTTTAAAAAAATTATTCAACATCAAATAACGAAAACCACTATTATTAACTTATTATACATATATAACATAAATTATAATTATTTACCACTCGTTATTAAATAACATCAAATTCATCAACAATAATAATAATCAAATACTTACTCTTAAAAACGGAATGAACGCACCCTTAAATATTTCACTATACCTAGAGCCAAAAATCACTAGAAATTGTAAAGTTACCTTTAATCGAAATGTCATAACAACGTGAATGGAGGTTAGTGTATTTCAATTCAGTTTTAATACAAGTTTTTTCTACATAATGTGCTCATTTTATATAATTCTCACATTTCTCACAGTTAATATGTAAAATAAAACAATTTTTAATACTTAAGAGTAAATAAAAGTAAATAAATTGATGATTTAAATTTTCAGTTAATGCGAACCGGCCATAACAGTATTATTTTGATACAAATACACGTATCAAAAAATGATACTGTATTGACTATCATTCTTAAAAAAGATAGTTATATTCGTATCAACTTGATACATTATAGAGTATCAAAACGTTGCCACAATTTGATCTGAATTATACTATCAATTTGATACTTTCCAGAAAACTGTGAGGGTTCCGCAGCATTGATTGAACATTGAACGCCAATCTTCAACAAGGACTGGAGCGTCAGTCTTAAATAAGTGTTACATTATGGCTAGAAGCAACCTTGCTTCCGCCGTCCCACCGAGGCTTGATCAATGTTGACCAAGCCTCAACGAAGCTTTCGTAAAGCCTGAACCCGGCGTCAGTTCTCACCTGGGGATTCTTGCTAAATTTTTTTTTTGAAATTTCTTGAATTGTTTTTAGGAATTTCATTACAATTTTGGAAAATAATTTTTTTATTTCAATTATTATCGCATTTAAAGCAGTGTAAATTTAATTATAAAAGAAAAAAAAACAGAAAATTACAGAAGTAAAAAAAAAAGTATCCAGATAGTGTCAGATCATATAAAAAGTGTCAAATTGTATAGGTTTTGGTGGATGAGTGCAAAGCCTGTAAATTTTTATTATTTATATTTTTACCTTGCAGTTGATCCTGACCTTCATTTTCAATTAAAGCATGGGGTTCATTCTCATCGTCCGACTGTAAATACATATACTCAAAAATTCCGCCATTGGCTCTCCGCTTTTGTAATATACGTTTGTCATGAATTCTCTTATAGGCGCAGACGTCCTCTATCTAATTTTCTCCAACAAACTTTCATTGCAGGTGCGATTGACCCTTTTTCGAATAATTTTAGGCATTTTACTCCACGTGATTTTCGTTCATTTGTGATTTTCTGATTGTCCAAGTTTATTGAGTCTTGGAATAACCATAGATTTCCTGAAATTTTAAAAATAAAATTTTTTGCTCTGAAACATTCATTTTTGTGTTTAATCAATTTATATATTTATGTAATAACATTTTTTATCGTATTATCTCTATAAAAATTTTTAAACATGATAAACACTTCGCATTCAATAATTATTTATAAAAAAAAGTAGAAGAAAGTAGTTTTAAATCTTAAAAAGTATATAGTAAAAAAATAGCTTATCTCAAAAAATTACATTTGAAGACTAAAAAAACTCTCTTCAGTCAATTTCGAAAAATCACAAAAATTTGATTCTACATTTCCCTAAACATTTCCTGCGGTTTTCCATAAAAACAAATATTCACATTTTTGAAAAAAATAAAAATTTATTTCAATTGAATTTGTAAAAATTTCCAAATAATTGCAAATTTGAATAACTATTTTCAATTTTTAAAGAAAACTTAACTGTATTGAAAAAATTTTAGTTAAAATTTTTAAAAAGACTAATATTGAAAATAATAAAATTTTTACGAAGCATTTGATTATTTATGAAAAAATTCAAATATTAAAAAAGTGTAAAAAAAGTATTAAATTGTACTTGTGAAGTCCCATATTTTGGGCTTTGATTGGATAGCGGCCTCCAGAATATTTCCATATAGTTCGAATAAATTTGTGATTCTCTCACATTCGCCAAAAACAGAAAAAACAGCTGGGGTAATGGTTACTATCCCATCGTTTTCAAATTCCTCGAAAAATCTCGTTAGATTTTCATTTTCTACTGCAGCGTCCTCTTTTATTAAATCAAAGACTTCCTGAATCAAATAGTGTGGAAATAGCGGCAAGCCAAGAATTGTAAGTAGAGCTGTTTTAATTTCGTTAATGCCATTTTCCTCCACAAAGTTGTGCAAATTGTGTAATTTTATCATTTTAAAAATGTCCTGAAATATTAAAAACCATAAAAAGTTTATATATCGTTTAAAGTTAATTGTTGTGAAGTGAATTTTTTTGAAATTTGCTGCATTCAAATGTATATTTAATACCCGAGACGGGTTAGGCCAAGCTATGAGTTTTCTGAAATTTTCATTCATTTACCTAAAAGTTCTGAGAACCCAATCGAATTTGTAATTATGTATTTTTTCGAATTTTTCATTGCAAAATTAAGATCTTGAATATTTTCAAGCTTTATACATTCGAAAATTCGGATTTTTTGCACACCTCTAGCACATATATATATATATCGACGTCCACATAAAAAGGGACCATTTGAGCATTATTGGACTTATCTACATGGGCGTATTCCTTAGAAAATTTAGAAAATTTTGAGTGGTCTTACAACTTTTTTGATAAATTTAAAATTCGCTGAGTTACAGAATTTCAAAGTTTATAATGCAAACTCTATCATTTCGAGAAAAATGGAATTAAATATTGCAATAACAATTAATTGTTATATCTCTGGTTCTTCTGGGAAGTTATTCAGATAAGAATTGTTAACAGTCCTGGGCACCTTATAGAGATGAAAACCCATAGGTCTGAAAATTTTAACCCCCCCCCTCCCCTTTCCTAATTTTGAAAATACGAAAAATATTAATTAATATTTATTAATAAATCATTTTTTTACAAGGTTAATGATAGGGTAAAATTTTATTGTGTCATTTAAAGAAAAAGAATAGAAATTAAACTTGTTTAAAATCTTTTAACAGGGTCCATTATGAATATTTTTGACGAAATATCGAAATGTTTATTTTGACAACTACGAAGACAAAGATTCTAACATTAAAGTATCTCTGGTTTTTCTGAGAAGTTATTCAGATAAGAATAATTGTTTTCAGTCCAGGACATCTTAAAGATAATAAAAAACCAATAGGTTTTAAATTTTGTTTCCCTCTATTTTGAAAATACGGAATACTTTTGCAAAGAAGCGATAAAATGGGCCCTTTTCATTTTTCTGAAGAACCATTGAAATCTGACACTTAAATTAACGATAAATTAATTAAAATCGCATGATTCGACTTGTCAAAACATGTAGATTAATAATAAAAAATAAAAAAAATCAAGGTTTTTCTCCAAAATTACTAAATTGCGATTATCTCGAAAACTAGAACCGACAAAATGGACCCTTTTCATCTGGAGGTCCAAATGTAGTTAAAATAAATATGAATAAATTTTTATAGAAAAACAAAAAGAACAAAGTTAACAAATTAACATTTTCTAAAACTTCAATTCGTTTTTAAAAACAAAAGGTTGCTCAGTGATCACTTATACGTTCACTGACATAGTTCAAGTGTCCCTAATTAATTATTTATATATTTAAGCTCACCTCCTATGGTAATGGTGCAGACGGGCGATTATCAATTTGCTCCCGTGAGGGGAAGGGGCCTTCCCCCACCATGCGGCCTTGTACCTGACTTCGGGGTTCGGGGGCGATTATCAATTTGCTCCCGTGAGGGGAAGGTGCCTTCCCCCACCATGCGGCCTTGTACCTGACTTCGGGGTTCGGAGCGAACGTAGCACAGCGGAGCGCCCGGTCCCTTAATCCCTCATTAAGCCATCCTTCCTTAATGACAGTGTTTAAAAAATATAAATTTCTCAAATATAAACATTTTTCAATTTTTTTTATTCAATTCAGATTCCTTGTTTTATTACGAATCCATACATATGTAGTTTGCCTTAAAAATTTTAGTATTTAAAAAGTTTAAAATTTATTATTAACTGACTGATTGTAATTCTTAAGTTTTTTCAGAATTCAACTGAAGTAAAAAGTAGATTATACAGCCAGAGAAAATATATATTTACTTGAAAGTCAAATTTACTATGAATTTATTTGAGTGTCAGTTCATAATAAATTAAAATTTTTTTTAAATATTAACATTTTTAAGGCAAACAACATATGTATGGATTCGTAATAAAATAAGGGATCTGAATTTAATAAAAAAAACTTTAAAATGTTTATGTTTGAGAAATTTATATTTTTTAAACACTGTCATTAAGGAAGGATGACTTAATGAGGGATTAAGGGACCAGGCGCCCCGCTGTGCTACGTTCGCTCCGAACCCCGAGCTCAGGCCCCTGGCCGCATGGTGGGAGAATGCCACTTCCCCTCACGGGAGCGAATCGATGACTGCCCGTGCAGACTACCGACGATAACTGCTGCTGGAAAAATTCGTCTTGCACTTGATTGCAAAGCACTGTTGTAACTTGAGACTAATTTTCGAACTTCAAAATCAGGCACTACTTCTTTTAAATGTACCAGAACACCTGTTAAATTATCTTCGTCTGTAGAATTTAAAAGTGCCCAAGCGCAAGGGAGTACCTTTGTACGTGAATAAAGAGTAAAAATTATTTCAAATTTCATGTATATAATAATATTATGAGTGAAAATATACGAAGCCTTGATTTTACTTACATAAGTATTTTTGAAACACATGATTGTCATCAGGTGATGACAATTAACATCCTGCGGACTTGATTTGTCCGAAATATGAATGTAAAAATCTCCACTGCCTGTGACTAACGACATGTATTCAGGGTCAACAATTACAACTGCTCCACCGCCGAATATAGGGATGAACCTCAAAGTACCATTTTCGTACCTACACGGAAAGAAAAGGTCTGGAAGAGATATCCATAAAAATATTGTTGAGCAGAATATTGTTGTGTTATCCAATTCAATGGAAGAGACAACTTTTAGAATGGAAGCACATTCCATATTCAATGGATGAGGGAGCCATATTATATTGTTGAATCAAATATGGATGTGACATCCATAAGCATGGTTGGGCTTACAATTCATGCTATGGATTTTCACATATGGCTGCCTCATCCATATAAACTTTGGTTGGGAGATCCATAGTTAGTTCAAAATTTCGATACATGTTGCGCGCAATTCATTATCATGGCATCCATTTAAAAATGGACGTCTCAATTTGTCCTTCGCGTCGGTCTCTTGTCGAGTCTATATAATCGGGTTGTGAGTTTATTGTGTATAAATAGTGTTATAATTGTTTATTATTTATTATCGTTATTGTCTATTAGTGTTTATGTAAATTTATTTTCATGAAATATGTGTAGAGTATATAAGGAATATTATATGCTCAAATATTGTAGTTGCGTGTATAGTGTAGTGGATAGGGTTAGTGTTTAGTATGCGTTAGGTCTAGGGTTCGTGTCTCCCCCATCGGTTAATAATTTATTTCGTAAATATGCGGTTATTCAATAAGTGGTGTGTATTAATTAACAAAAATGTGTATAAAATATCTCAAGTGACATAGAATTTAATTAATTGAGTGATTCTAATTTTTTTGTTTCCCATTTCCATTACTATGGATCACCCAACCATAGATCTTTTGCTACTCCAACAATATACAGCCAGCCATAGAATATGGATGCAGCAACCTTAACTATGGATATCCTGTATTTTTCAATATAATATGGCTGTGATATCCATGTATCTGGATGTGTCAACTATTCCTTTTTCTCCGTGTACGTAGATGAGTCCACCTGTCACTATTTAAAATTGTTGCATACTCCTCTAAGGAGTGTGGTGTCTGTGGGACATTTCTTCTTTCCCAGACATTCATTAAGCTCCGCACTGATTCGAATGGGACCCCAATGCTCGCATTTTCGTGACTATATATTTAAAAGAAAATAAATTTAAAAAATGCATATAATAAATACAATTATAACAATTGTTATATATAGATTAAATCAGAATAGAATATCAAAAATATATTTTTGATAATACGAGGCCTACTTTAGGCCTCGTATATTGATACTTTATTACGTAAAAATGTCGTTTTAAGCGATTAAAATTATACAAAAAGAGTTGAACAAATCATTCATTAAATTCAATTTTTTTTACAAGAACTTTATTATTATTTACCTTTCACTGATTTCTAAATGCAATTATTCAAAACCTCAATAAATTTTTAATTTTTCGGAAATATGTAATTCAAAATATTGAAAATAATAGTAAATTAAAAAAATAATATTAAAAAATTCTAAGAATTAATTTTTTATGAATATTTAAATATAATTTTTAGAAGCTGATTATCAGCAATTTTAATTATAAAATTTACACTTGAGGATTAATCACTACATTTTTTGAGAATTCAACTATACCTATATATTTTAAACATTTACAATTAAAATTCTTTAAAAGTTGATATTTTTTATCAACAGTTAAAATATTAATGGTTTTATACTTAGATAAAATTTTTTGAATAGACTAAAATTTAATATTAGATTAACTTGGACTAATAAAATTAAATTTTGTAACTCAATATATATATTGCAGATTTGCTTCTTTTGAAAAGAACAAATAGGGTCAGATGGGGTAAATAGAAACCAGGGGTAAATCGAAACAGTAGTTATTTCAGTTAAATAAAAAATTTAAAAAATAAATACGGCCTCAAACCTTGAACCTCAGATCACCCCCAACAGGTTTCAAGTACTTTCCTATTTTCTGATTGTCAATTAGCAGCATTATGTAAACAAAAATATTTGCTACTGCACAAAAAATTGAAAATCAAAAAAGAAACCCTTTCACTTTTTTTACTCGTATTTGGAAATAAATAAAATAAAAAGTTATAGTAAAATTTATAATTATCTCTCATTAATACAGGGTTACCACAGGTCAGGGAAATCAGGGAATTCAGGGAAAGTAAAATTGGTCAGGGAAGTCAGGGATTTTTATTTAAGTAACTGGGAAAAATTGAATTTTAAATAAGTTACAAATGAATTGAAGAAATTCAATTATTTTTAAAAGTAATAAAATTCTTCGCAAAAATTCAATTACCTATGTTCAAAAATTTTAAAAAATTCTCATCGAAATTCAATTACTTTTCATGAATAATAAAATTCATCATAGAATTTCAATTATTTTTCATACAATTTTAATTGAATTCCTCGAAAAATTTCATTATTCTTGAAAATTTTATTAAAGTTTCTAGAAAAAATTCAAATTTGTTGATAAAATTCTGTATGATAATTTAGTTTCGAAATACATTCATTTATTTAATAAATTATTTATTTTTGTATTTAAATAATTGAATTATTTTAGAATTTTCCAATAAAAGTTGATTTGAAAATGAATATTAGTTAAAATTTTAGATAATAATTGAATATTAAAAGCATTATAGCATGAATTTTTAAAAGTACATAATTAATTTATGTATTTTTCAAAGAATTTAGGGAAGAGTGGGGTAAAAAAGCCACATTTTTACTTTTGATGCTGTAAAATCTGTATTTAAAATTTTTTTTCTACCACACGCACCGAAAGTACACCATTTCCTACGTGTTTAGCGGGAGAAAAGTGTATGATTCCCTGCGAGCGGGAGGGAATGTACATTCCCTCCCGGCTAGTGACGTCACCGGGAGGGAATGTAACATTCCCTCCCTGTGAGGGAGGAAAAGTAACTTGCTTTCTCGGTAATATTATCAAAGTATGACCATTGATGAATCAGTTACGTGAGTTACGTCAGCTAAGTGACTTACGTAACTTACGCGAGTTACGCAAATGGTGTAGTTACGTAACTTACGTAAATGGTGTAGTTATGTTAGTCTTTCGAGTTACAAATAATAAATGATTTACGTAAGTTACGTAACTTACGTTACTTACGTTACTTACGCTACTTGCGTAAACCTACGCTCTTTGGGTTAGTTTAGTTATTTTAAGCTTTTCACAAACTTTCAGTTACCACAGTTGTAACTATACCGCCCCCAGCTACAACTATACATTCAAAAGTAACAATCAAACTGCCGCGTTTGTACTTTCGGTATACGTGTGTTAGAAAAAATAGTATGTGCAACTCGGGAGGAAAATTGATTTCCACTCGTGTTTTACAGTTCTCGGCTTCGCTCGCAAGCACTCGCCTTCGGCTCGTTTGCTCGCTACGCCTCGAACTGCAAACTACACTCGTCGGAAATCATCCATTTCCCTCCCTTGATGCACAATCTACTATTTCTCAAATTTCCAATTGTTATTGAAAGTTTAGTTATTAAGCTTGAAAATTCTTGACGGAAATATTTTACATTCTCATCATATGAGAAAGTATTAGTTTTGGTCGAAAATTGACTTTCGCTAATTTCATGAAATCTCGACGTTTTGGGGTCCCCTGAACCCAAAAAACATGGTCCGGCGATGGTGTCTGTCTGTTCGTCTGTCTGTCTGTCTGTCTGTCTGTCTGTCTGTCTGTCTGTCTGTATGTCTGTCTGTCTGTAGATCAAAAATTTTGTTCCCACGATAACTCTTGAAAAACTTAGCCGATCGTTTTTAAATTTTACACACTTAAAGTTGGTGCAAAAATGAATGCTAAGTTCGTTAACTAGCTTATTTCTTCAAAAACTACTTTTTTTTTTTTTTTAAGTTTTTGGGTCAGTCAGCTTAACTGTGTTAAAAAAATTTCTATTGATTTTGTAAAATGTTATAACTTTTATAAAAATCCGTAGTTAACAACAAATCAAAAAGCACGTTAAAAGTTTTTTAAAATTTCATGTTTCTGCTAAGAGAGTTATTATAATTAAAAATAACTCCACAATTTTATTCATCAAGACCAAAAATATACATTTAAATTCACTTAATATCGCAATCATCAGCAAAGAAAAACATATGATGAGAATGTTATCCTTAAAGTCGTAGTAACTTTAAGAAAAAAAAATGATTTATGAAACATATAATAGGAAACAAGAACAAGAACACAAATAATACACAACAATTGCAGACTACCGCGAGCGAAGCGAGCCATTTGCGCGCGAAGCGCGCAACAACACACGGAGCGCGAAGCGCGACGTGTGCAATAATCGCCGGAGCGCGAAGCGCGACGATCAATATTTGCGCGCCCCGAGGCGCGCTGAAACTTGCGAGCCCCCGCGCGAAGCGCGGATGAGAATGTGTCCGCGCTTGCGCGGACAGATTTTTTTATCTCATGAAAGGACTAAGTTATAAGAGTTTTACGAAAGCACTGCAAGTGGCTTTTTTGCACCACCTGGTGGGGTGAAAAAGCCACCCTACGATTTTAGCAAAACATGTTATCAATTTAGGTATTTTTATAGTTTTCCTTTATTTATATGACAAATAGTCTTATTTGAAAAATATTTTTAAATTATGAAAGAGTTTTTAGCAAGCAAAATTGAAAATTATATTAAGTTTACCTGTCTTCGATTTGCACTGCCAATTTTTCGTACCTTTTTTAGAAGTTCTCTTTAAGTTTCACCACAGATAACATATTTCGTTGCAACCGTTTATTCATTGTTTATTTTTTTAATGCACTTTGAACTACTTTTTCGTCGTGTTTAATTAATTTTATTAAATAAACACGAGAAATTTTGTAAAATTAGAAGGTTAGTTTAAATAGAAAACAAGTGAATTTCACAAAATATTCAATGGATTTTTTGCCCTGGCTTTTTTACACCCAAGACCAGTTATTAGAAAAGCAAAAATAAATTGTTAATTCAGTTCAATTTCCAAAAATTAACATTGTATACGTTTTCGGTATACTTTTCTCCTTATGTACAAACATTTACTTTTATTATTCGTTCACTTAATCAGATTATATAATAGTTTTTAAATAAAACTCAAATGGCTTTTTTACACCATGGCTTTTTCACCCCACTCTACCCTACTTAAAATTGTATTAAAAATAATTGAAATCATGTGAAGAATTTTATTACTTTATGAAAGTAATTGAATTCTTGCAACGAATTTTTTCAAATTTTTTTTTTAAATAATTTAAATAATGTAAAGAGTCTTATCATTTATGAAAATAATTGAATTCCTGCATTGCATTTTAGTACATTTTTTTAAATAATCGAATTCTTTTGAGAACTTTCATTAAAAAAGTAGATTGTGAAAATATTTGAATTTCAACGAAGAATTTCATTCTTCGTTGGTTCGAATTTTGCATTGCTCTAATTATTTATTATAAATTAATATACTTACAACGGTCTTATCTGATTGTAGATAACTCTGCTATTTGCAGTTTGTGTTATGCGAGCCCTGCGCAATTCTTCTTTAAAAATTTTCTCTTGTTCGAAACGGGCATCCGGCTTATGCGTGTGTTTCGTCGTCACTTTATATAGGCCATTGAAGAAATTGGCACGGCCATTGCATCTTTTTGTTCTATGGAACCTGCAGATGAGATACCTGAAAAAATTCCAATATCATGTTTAAAAATACACAGTTTTCCTTTCCCTGGGATATGGCCCCTACCCTGAGAAAACGAATTATTTGGTTCAAACAAATTTTGTTTAAATCAAACTTAAAATATCTTTGCTATGCAGTCAAACATATTTAAGTTTAATTCAAACATATTTCTTGGTTCATTTAAAGAAACAATATATTTAATTCAAATATAAGTTATGGTTGATTTTAAATTATTTATAACAAAATTTTAAGTTTGAATGAAACATAAAACAGAAACAGAAAATATGTTTGAATTAAACATAATTATTCAAACAAATAATATTTTTAAATAAATATTTTCTATATATTGGAATTAAGCTTACAAACTAATTTCAATTAAACGAAGTCATTTAAAATTATTTTTCTATTTGAATTAAATGTAATGTTTTCCCAATGTATATGTATATGGGGCATTCCAGGCCAAATCGGAAATTATTTTGCTTTTGCATCTCAAATTTTTTTAAAACATTTTTTTTCTTTTACTACACTTTGAAATGAGCTACTTTGATTCTTTTCTATATACAGACTTTTGAAAAATGTCTTTTTTTACGTAAATTTTTTATTAAATGCTTATAACTCGGTCAAAAATTGATCAAATTGGACGTTTTTATAATGAAAAGTTTTGTTTTCACTCGTAGTTTTTAATAAACATATTTTTAAAAAAATTGTAAATAATTTACGATAAGATTTTAAAATTTTTAAAATATAATTTCATTTTTATCAATCTATGTATATCGATCAATTTTTTTCAAAATTTTTTGGAAGAAACTAGCAATAAATTAACAATTTTTAAGCCTTGTCCAATCGTGGGCAAACGAATAAATGATGGGATCTATTTATTTTGAAATTTTTAATTTTTATATGCACAGTTTAAACGGTAGGTCTAACTTGTCATTTGACCAAATCACAATTTTACACAGAACGACAACTCTTACTCTCATGACTCGAGAAACAAAACTAACGAGCACGTTTTTGGCAAAAACGCTTCAGCTCGCGAAACTTCCGTTTTCGAAGGTTCTAGAAGCTTCTTGAAAGAGTTCGTAAATACAACCATTCCGGCTCAAAATAAACACGTAACATTTATACCGGGAAAATATAATTCGAATATTTTAATAGAGAGAGAGAGAGAGAGAGAGAGAGAGAGAGCAATCGATGGGGGAAATTTCCTATTTAAGAAACATCCCTTACCAATGAAATAAATTAGATCATGCGTGGATTTTACTTTGTAATTAATGTAAGTATGGATGTCAACAATATTCATAATATTGAATAAATAATATTGTCAACTAGTTTCAATTTGATACGGTTATTAGAATTTAATAATAAATAAATGAAAAACATTAATTTTTTCGCCTTGATACCTTTTTTAAGTTTGACAGTCCTCATGGTAAATTTGATTATTCTTTTTTTTTCGTGTACAAAATAGTGAATTGACCTTGAATGAAATGTATAATTAATTATTCTCACAGCAATATTTAATAATTTAATGAACTTAACTGCACTGCATAATAGTTGAGAGTAGTAAGAGTAAGTGAAACGGTAAGATAAGTGAACGACCATTAGTGTGAGAGAGAGAGAATAACTTGTGGTTTTCGAGTAGGTATCTACTTTATGTGCACGGCGTTCATTTTTCGAAAGAACTGGACTGAGTATTATTTGTTCAATATTCGCTTCTATTATTGACTTGTGTTTTGTACACTGCCGCGTTCTTTTAACAATTACATGAGAAAGTAATTTCTCATTCCAATTTTTTATACTCTTATTCCCTCTTAGACTATATAAACAGTCTTGTTTAAGCTGATGAATGGGATAACTTGTGTTGAGTCCCAAAGTGTTCAGCTATGAAACTTCTAATACTATAGTGTGTGTACCTGTCACATATTATTCTATAAAGGAGTACTACACTGACTGCATAAATCATTTTTCCATTTTTCTCCCTGTAGTGCTTGTTTCTTACAAAAAATTTTGAAAAAAATTGATCGATACATACATTGTTAAAAATGAAATTTTATTTTTAAAATTTTAAAATCTTGTCGTAAATTATTTCAAAATTATTTAAAAATATTTTTATTAAAAACTACGCGTGAAAACAAAACTTTTTCATTATAAAAACGTTCAATTTGATCAATTTTTGACCGAGTTATAATAAGCATTTAAAAAAAATTTACGTAAAAAACGTAATTTTTCAAAAATCTGTATCTTCTGATCCGTTTTATGAAAAAATTTGAAAAAAATCAAGGTAGCTCTTTTCAAAGAGTACTAAAAGAAAAAAAATTTTGAGATGCAAAAGCAAAATAATTTCCGATTTGGCCTGGAATGCCCCGTATATACTTAAACAGGATTGCCACAAATATTTAATTTTATTTTTCCCTGACTTTTCCTTGATTTCCAAATAAAATTTTCACTTTTTCCCTAACCATAAAGCATATTCTGATTCACTCTAAAAATTATTATATACTTAAAAAAACATTCTATTACATTTACTTAACAATTTCTTAAATTGTAAAATTATTCGCAAACGTCAATAACTAAATTTTTAAATAAATATTTAATTATTTATTTTTCCATAGGAATTCAAATTCTTCAAAACATTTAAAATTAAACATTTTTAAAATTAAACAACTTAAGAATATTATTATAAAACATAAAGATATTAATTACTCCGAGTCTTTGATTCGGAGTGATTGATATCTTCATGTTTTATATAAAAATTTTAATTTCCATAAAATTTAAAAAAAAAAATTAAATTATTTACAAAAATTATAATAAAATTTGTTGCAAGAATTCAATTATATTCATAAATAATACAATTCTTCACATGGTTTCAATTATTTTTAATACAATACCCGTGTAGAAAAATTGTTGGGTTCTAGTGTGGTGCCAGAAAGACAGTCTATTCTCTAACTGGGCGCTGAAAAGTCTGTCTGACCATGGGCTAATCAGACCAGTGACGATCGAACCACGCGTTGGTCCATACTGGACGAGCTAATCAGGGCTAATGAGCAGTGCTAATATTTAAAATTTTAGGTTCGATTTCAATATTTCAGTTTTTTAATTTTAAATAATTTACCCAAATTTACTCGGTTCTCACGTTTTATTCAATGTAATGTGAAAATATGAATTATTAATAATAAATAAATATTATTGTTATTCATATATATGTGTGTATATGTATTTAATGACAATAACTTATTATTATAATAATTATATTATTTTCAAATAAATAATATACTGCACTAGCAGTAAATATTATTTAAAAGAGTAATATTGAAAGATAATTTTAATAAAAAAACAATTTGCGTTAATTGGTACATTTGTTAAATTCATTCTTTAACAGGCCTTTAACATTATTTACAAACATGTTTACAATTTTAATTTATAACACTTATACAGATTAAATACAGTAATTTTATTATTTTATATAACACTTACAATGAAAAATATCCGCTCGCATGTGGCATCGAACTCACGCCCCCCACCCTTGACGACTCGACTCGAAGCATTTAAACCGCACGGCCACTGAAGTCTGGGTGTGAACTCTCCTAATTTACTATATCAATGCCAGTGTCATATATTCTGTTGCTTATAAAGACGAAGTGAAAACTATGACTAAAATTATTACACATAATAATCCGAATTATTTTAATTATTATATATGAATATTTAAATAAATAATTCTTACTACAATTATAATCATTAACCATTTTTTAATGAATTACTTTCAGTTTTATCAAAAATTTTTTAAATAATTGAATTCTTATGGCGAATTTCAATAGAATTCATAAGTATAATTATACACTTTTCGAAGAATTCGATTTATATTCAATTAAAAATAATTAAGAAATTCTGAGATTAACTAAGAAATTTTGAATAATAAAAAAATTTTGAGAATTTTATTATTTATATAAAAATAATTGAATTATTGAGAAGAAACTTATAAAAAATTTGTAAATCCTTATTGAATTTTTGTGAAAGGTTTTTTATTTATGAAAGTAATTAAATTTTTGCTTACATTTTATTTTGCCAAGAATCTTGTTAAAAATTTGGAAAATAATTGAATTTCAGAGAACGATTTTATTATTTATAAAGATAATTGAAATTTTGATGAGAATTTAAACAAATTTTTGAACATAATTAAATTTCTGTGTAGAATTTTGTTACTTTTGAAAATAATTAAATTTCTACAATAATCTGTAACTTCTCCAACACTCAATTGTTTATAGTGTTTTTAACTAAAATTCTTCTACAGATAAATTATTTTTAATAATTAATCAAATACAATATGTTAAAAATTTATCTAATTTCAGGAGAATTTGAATTATTAGGCATTTTTAAAAAATCTAAGATCTTTAGAATTTTTAATTAAACTCATTGAAAATTTTATTTATAATAATTCATATAAACCTACAATATTTATTTTTGAACGATTCTTTAGATACTAAATTATTCCATTGAATTTTGAAGTGACAATCCATGTATAAATTCAAAGAAGACCGACAAATCGGGCACTAAAGTCTTGATTGTACTTATTCCCGGGTAGCAATTGAAGTCTGGATCAGGTTTGTAACTGATCTGGTTAGATCTGGGCCAGATCTGGTAACCAAGTCTGTGCCAAAGCTGGTTTGAAACGCGGAACATGTCTGAAACGTGTATATAACCAGATTTGATTTTCTGTTGTTCGTATGGTAACAAGGCGTTCGACAGTACCTAGCATGGGTTCTTGCTTTTTTCTGGTCATTGCTCGGCTATTTATTATAACAGCTTTGCTTTTTGTAAAATTTGTGTTTTTAGTTGAAAATATATTTAATTTAAATACAATAATAATATTTTTATCTTTTGCTATAGTTCAATTTTTTTTCATTTTAAGCTGGAAGAACTACTTAAATACACACTCCTAAACACAGTATTTCATTTTTTTTATTAAAGTCGTAGCTTATAATTATATTAAGAAAATTCCTAAACGCAGGGATTCGAGCACCTAACTATATATCGCAACGCAGGTTTTGGTGACGTAGGGGACGCAAGATAAAACGCTTTAACCGCTCGACCATCTCGGAGGTCTGAGAATCTGGGCTTAGAGAAAAATTGCATTCAAAAAGCAGAGCAAATAGACTCTCTTTCTCTCTCTCACTTACTGAAACCCGAAAGAAAAGATAGGTAGAACCCCTGCGGTTCAGGGTTACTTTACGCGCTCATGCTACGTTTGGGAAATTCCCAAAAGTTGTTTATATAGTACATTTTCAGATTTCTCGGTTTTTAATTTGTAAGCATAAATTACTTGTGTAGAGTAATAATTATAGAATTTATTGTAAATACAGGGATTTGTTTCCCAGTAAATATTTTTGAATATTAGGTTAAACAATTATAAATCTGAATTCAGTCCAATAGATACATTAAGTAACCAACTGTTTAGTAAAGTAATTTTAAAAAGCATACAATTATATTTTAATTGTGCTCTCTAAATTTGAATCAGTTAAAAATCACTGGGTTAACTAACAATAAATGACTGAAATTTTACTTCTGCAATCAGTTAAAATTAACTTATTTTCAATGACAAAATTAATGGTTATCAGTAAAAAACAACTAAAAATTGGTCAAATTTTATCAATATTTCAGTGTATTACAAATTATTATTTATTTGTAAAATGGAAAATTTGATCCAATGGAAGGTAGATAAAGAACAACAAATAGTGTTATTTCATTTATTTAACGACGTTTCGATGACATGGTTTGTCATCCTCTTCAGGTTAACTTCGTCGACTTCAGGTCGACGATACTATTTTATGTGTACATAGGGATAATATTGACTTAGTTGTTAGTGTTTTTAACTCTTATCATAAGAACTTACAATTCACACATGAAGTTCAAGAAAATAATAAAATAAATTTTCTGGATGTTACTTTAATGATTGATGAGTATGATCAACCAATTAAGTACAATTGGTACAAGAAAGAAATTGCATCTGGTAGACTCATTAATTATTACTCTCATCATCCTATTCAACAAAAAATAAATATTGTATACAATCTAGTAGATAGAGCAATATTACTTTCGCATTCTTTGTTTCACAAGGACAACTTAAATAATGTAAAAAACATTTTAAATGATAATGATTATCCATCTGACTTCATTAATAAATACATAAACATCAGAAAAAATACAATCAAGTGCCATAATATCAATAATACAATTAAAAAAAATTCCCGCGCTCTCATTTATAATAAAATGCATAAAGTTTGTATTCCATTTAATTATCCTGACTTCAATAGTTTATCTTATATTTTGAAATCTTACAATATTCTAACTATCCCAATTGTCAATAAAAATTTGAAATCAATTATTAAATTAGGTAAAGACAAAACTGAAAAATTGGCAGAAACAAATGTAGTTTATAAGTTTAATTGTAAGAATTGCACGGCTTGTTATGTTGGTGAAACGAAACGCACATTAAAAACACGAATTGATGAGCATAAAAATAATAAATCTGTTACATCTGTAGTGAATGCTCATCAATCTGGATCTGGTCATGAGTTTGATTGGTCTAATGTTTCTATTCTTGACCGTGAACCTGATTATAAAAAACGCTGTTTTTCTGAAATGCTACATATAAAAAGTAATAATTTACCAAGTCTGCTTCTGGTTTGGACCATGTAAAATTCCAGATCCGTTCCAGATCTAGAATAACAGGTCTTCATCAGATCTGTACTCTGGTAGCGACTTGGATTTTGCTACCCGGGTTGATTTGTACTTTAAAAATTTTGAATTCTAGTGATGCCAATGAAGTCCCATATAGCATACAGTTAGACAGTCTAAATTAGACCGTCCAGAAAAATCCTATATAGCACACAGTTAGACCGTCCAGATTAGACCGTCCAGATGCGTCTAGTTGGGGCAATCTCTGGACTCCAGACTGCCCCGAAATTTTTCTACACGGGTATTTAAATAAATTTCTTGCAAAAAATGTTTGAAGATAATTATCTTCAAACATTTTTTGCAAGAATTAAATTAGGTACATTTCACAAATAATGAAATTCTTCGCTGAAATTCAAAAATTTTCAAAGTTTACATTTTTAATACAATTTTTCAAAAGAATATAATTATTTAAAAAAAAGGAAAGAAAATTCGTTGCATAAATTCAATTATTTTTACAAGTTATAAAATTTTCCACATGAATTCTATTATTTAAAAAAAATTGATAAAATTCGTTGTAAGAATTCCATTAATTTATTTTAATAAATTATAAAATTTTTCTGAGGATTTCAATTATTTATAATACACTTTAAAGTAAATTCCTAGAAAAATGGAATTATTCTCTTAATTTTTTTGTAAGAATTTAATTACATTTCACGAATTTAATTAATGAAATTCTTCGTTGAAATTCAAATATTTTCACAATCTACTTTTTTTAATAAAAGTTCTCAAAACAATTTAATTATTTAAAAAATGTAATAAAATTCAATGCAGGAATTCAATTATATTCATAAATAATAAGACTCTTAACATTATTTGAATTATTTAAAAAAAATTTGAAAAAATTCATTGCATAAGAATTTAATTACTTTCATAAATTAATAAAATTCTTCACAGGATTTCAATTATTTTTAATTCAATTTTAAGTAAATTCTACGAAAAATGTAACTATTTTCAAAAATTTTGTTAAAATTCTTCGAAAGAATTCAATTATGTATTTTTTAAAATTAATGCTATAATGCTTTTAATATTCATAATTATTATCTAAAGTTTTAAATTAATATTCATTTTTAAATCGATTTTTATTGGAAAATTCTACAAGAATTCAATTATTTAAATACAAAAATAAATTATTTATTGAATAAATGAATGTTTTTCGAAACTAAATTATCGTAATGAATTTTATCAACAAACTGGAATTTATTCGAGAAATTTTAATAAAATTTTCAAGAATAATTAAATTTTTCGAGGAATTCAATTAAAATTGTATTAAAAATAATTGAAATTCTATGATGAATGTTATTATTCCTGAAAATAATTAAATTTTTGTAAAAAATGTTATTATTTATGAAAACAATTGAATTATTGCAAAGTTTGTTTAGAATTTTATCAAAATTTTTTTTTAAATAATTTAATTCTTTTAAAAAATTTTTATTAAAACTGTAGATATTGAAAATCATTATGAATTGAGAAAAATTTTTTGAAAATAATTGAAATTTTGCAAAGAATTTTACTAAAATTTTTGAAAATAATTGAAATTTGGAGAAGAATTTGATTATTTTTAAAGATAATTGAATTTTGACGAGATTTTTTTTAATTTTTGAACATATAGGTATAATTGAATTTATGCGAAGAATTTTATTACTTTTGAAAATAATTGAATTTCTGCAATTCATTTTTTGTAATTTATTTAAAATTCAATTTTTCCCAGTTATTTAAATAAAAATCCCTGACTTCCCTGACCAATTTTACTTTCCCTGACTTTCCCCTGATTTCCCTGACCTGTGACAACCCTGTTAAATGTCTTCTGAATATTGCTTCATTATTAAAAACAAATTATTTTGTTAAATAAATATTTAAATACTTATTTATCCTTTCACAGAAAATGAAGTAATGAAATATAAACTAACATTTTTTTGTTAAAATTTTTAATTAAAATTATTCAAAATTTGTATCCGTTTTTGAGAAAATGATGATAGGCCTAAATAATGAGTTAATACTTTTCAAAAATAAATATTAAAAAATTGTCATATTTTACAGTACTTACAATTTTATAATGTCTCGAACATTCAATTATATCTTCAAAAATTTTAACTGAAATTGTTTTTAAATCAAACTTTTTTGACCTTTTTTAAAATTAATTTCCTAGTAGAAAAATTAATATTTGTTTGTTAAAATAAATTAAATCTTGCAAAAGGTTTTATTCAAATTTTTTAAATGATTTAATTTATTTAAGAAAATCCTATTACCTTGAAAATAATTTAATTTTTGCCAAAAAAAAATGCCAAAAAAAAAAATTCTTTTGTGACATATCATTAATATTGCAGATATTAAAAATATTCAAATTTTTCAAAATCCTTAAAAATAATTGAATCGGTCCAAAAAAAATTGATTACAATGTTTTTAATTGTTTATAAGAATTATATTTACATTTTTTTCTTATTAATGAATTTAAAGTAGTAAAAATATTCTAAAAAGAAAGAAAAAAATAGCTTTTAGTGTCACAAATCAGAAAAAAAACAGTAAATAGTTGGTTATTTTGTAGACAGGTGCAAAACAAGTAATAGCGACTCTTCATATTTTCATTGGATATAAGTGAAAAATTAAAATGGCGTATGCCTTTATTTTATAAGTTAAGGAACTCCTACTGGTTAGGGTCTGAAAATAGATTTGAGGCTATTAGAATAGAGCAGAGAATACGCAATGAATTGAAGGACTATAGAATAAGGGGACGAACGCGTGGTAGAAATAGGATACTACTCGTCAGGTTGCAGTAAGCATTTCAAGGCCGACTGATATTATTCCTTTCAAGCCTCGCGTTCGTCCCCTTTTTCTAGGGAGCCCTTCAATTGTTTCCGCCTTTACCTTCGGAAGGCCGGCTATTAAGAGACATATTTTTTACTTTAGGTAAAAATATAATATTTAGGTAAAATTATATACGCATAAAATAAAAGGTATTTTTGTAAAAAATATACAATAAAACGCTTTAAAAAATTTGTGCGTTTAATAATTTTAAATTTATTGCAATTTTAAATACTCTATCAGAAGTTAATTGTTTACAATTTTTGTTAAGATTTGAAAAAAATGTTATATATGATGAAAGAAATAACAACATAAAAAATCTAAAATGGCACTGTGTGTTCGCGTCTAAGGAAAGGGGGATTTTGAAGATTTTATGTGACTCGGTCACATGTATTTAGAGTCATTTTATAGTTTTCTTCAACCAATTTTTTGTTATTACTGGATAATAATACAAGTATTACTTACACTTTCCCATTTAATATTTTACTCGTTACATAATGATGTCCATTGTGAGTGTACTGATGTTCTTCGTTTCTGTCCTCCATTGTATCTAGACTTCCTGCTTGAAACTAATCCAATTTTAACTGATAAATGGTGCAACGCGTTTCCTCACCGAAAATGCATAAAAGAGAAAGACCTTCATATGTAAATTCCCTCCCTAGAATGGGGATCCCCCCATAGAATGTTCTAGAAATTCTAAAAAACATTTTAATAAAAAAACGATTAATAGATGGTGCCCCGATCGGACTGTTTGGATAAATGTTGTTGCCAATATTATTTATAGTGTTGAACATGAAAAAAAAAGATTGAGATTGTTAGAGATGAATAAATATAATAAACCCATGATTCTGTCATTCAATTTTCCGTTATAGCGTTTATCCTTAACTAATCATACCTTTGATAATAAACATTCTTTTGATTTTGACAATATAAATATTTTACATATTGAAACAAATAATTGAAAAAGAAAAAATTTAGAAATGTTCTATATAAAAAATAATACTAATAGTATTAATTATAGAACAGATATTGATAATTTAGATAAAGTATATTATAATTTAATTACTTCTTATAAAACATAATTTAAAAAGTCCAATAACATAGATTTCTTCTTTACCAACAATACCTGGACCCTACTACATAACCCAACCTCTCTGTCAAAACTCTTTAATCATAGAAACACATTTCTAAAAAAATGTGCTTCTACAAAATTTTGAAAATTTATTAATTACATATTAAAAAAAATCAATATGAATTATAAAAAATTTTTTGAAAAATTTTTTATTATATGCTGATATATTTTTTTTTTCTAAAGGGTAAGAAACTTTATTACTTTCTCTTTTTCGGAAATTAAAATATAACCTTAAAATGCATTACAATTAGATTTGAAACAATTTTTTAATTTTTTCTTTTTCAGATCATTTTATAATTTAATCCTTTTTGAAATCTTTTGTGCTTTGTCTTAATTTTGGATAATGTATTTGTGAAAATTATTCATCCCCTGATGAGGAACCATATATGGTTCGAAACTAGTTGGGATTTCAAAATAAATGTTATCTAAACAAACCGTAAAATAGGCCTTTTCATTATCTTACAAATGAATAAGGTTAGAAGTTTATTGGAAAAAAGAAAAACGTTCTGATTTCTTTTGATTTTTAAATGAAATCCTTTTATGTAAAAAGGATAGTTTCACGTGATTTGACGTTTGTAAACAAATTAAAATATTAAAATAAAAAAAGTTTATTTACTCTTTATATAATGCAAAGGTAATCTGCACAAATAAATTTAATGATTAATAATAATTTATTTATTTATTTATTTGAACATAAACGGGTTTCAGACGAACCCTTTCGTACAAAAGTACTGAATTGTAAATTATATAACAAAAGACCTTAACAACTATATGAAGGTAAGTTATGAGAACGCTAGGCGGAACTATAATGTTAATGGTAGTAGTATAACAATTTTTGCAATGCAGTTGTAAATCTATTCAATGAAGTGTCGAAGAACTCAACCGAATCACTTACAGTATTTGCTTCTCTACTCAACCTTATCATCAATGAATTATTTACATAGTTCGTATTATGATGTTCAATTCTAAACAATGAGCGATATCTAGATGGTCTGAAAGGTACACTTAAATTTATTAGTGACAAGAGTGTTGGACAATTTACAAAAGCATTCAATATTTTGAACATAAAAATAAGGTCTGCATACAGAAATCGAGTTACAATCTTAGGCATTTTTAGACGCTCACGCAAGTTATCATAATTATGTTCATGAAAATTGAATGGTATATATAACTGTCTCGCCGCGAAACGAAGAAAACGATTTTGAACACGCTCCAGTCTAATAAGTAAATACGCATAATAAGGTACCCAAATAACTGATGCATACTGTAGTGTACTTAATACAAAAGTAAAGAATAGTACTTTTAGAGTACGTTCATTTCGAAATAACGAGGCATTTCTCATAACAAAGCCCAGAGATCTAAGAGCTCTACTAATGGTTTCCGAGATGTGAGAATTAAATGATAAGGAACTATCGAGTATAACACCCAAATCACAAACCTGAGTCACCCTTTCAATTTCATCCTGCCCAATTGTATACAAATAGTAAAGAGTACGTTTACTCTTGGAAAAAGAAATGACCGAGCATTTTTTAATGTTAAAAGACATGTTATTTTGAAAACACCAAATTATTAGGTTATTCAAATCAGATTGCAAATCAATATTATCCTGATCATTTCGAATAACTTTGAATAATTTCAAATCATCTGCATACAAAAGGAAAAAAATATGTTTGAAAATTGATTTAATGTCATTTACATACAATATAAACAAAAGAGGACCCAAATTTGATCCCTGGGGAACTCCTGATGTAGATAAGAAAGGTGTAGAGTAATTATTATTGAATTGTACAGATTGATATCTATTTTCTAAATAACTTTTAATAAATTTTGTTAAATTACCAGAAAAACCCAGAGCTTCAAGCTTTGTCACAAGAGTATCATGGTCCACCCTATCAAATGCCTTAGTCCAGTCTGTCTATATTACATCAATTTGTGCACCCTTCCCCATATTCAATAGTAAAAAATTAGTGAAAACACCTAAATTAGTTGTCGTAGACTTACATTTTACAAATCCATGTTGCTCTTCAATGACAATATTAGAAACAGAAGCATAAATTAAATCAAATAATAAGCTTTCAAAGATTTTCGCAATGCATTTAAGGAGCGTAATAGGCCTATAATTTCTAATATTTTCATTATTATTACTTTTATAAACAGGGATCATAATTCCTTTTTTCCATTCATAAGGGAAAACAGAGCAAGAAATAGATTTGTTAAACAATATGTACAGAGGTTCTAAAAATGCATTTGAGCAAGTACGTAGAAGGAGAGGTGACACATTATCAGGCCCAGCTGATTTGTGTATGTCTAATTTATTTAATTTTTCAAGAATGTCTTCCTTATTAATATACATATTTTGAAGATAGATAGTAGAGTTTGAATTAGTATTATAATTAGGAGGTGACATAGTAGGAGGCGTATAAACAGATTCAAAATATTTTGCAAACAAATCACTGATATCACAATCATTATCACAAATTTCATCATCGAGATACATTATGTTAGGATATCGTGGTTTTTTGCGCACAGAATTAACATGTTTCCAAAAAAATTTAGTATTGTTTATGATTGAATTTTCAGTATTACGTAAATAAGATTGATAACATTCTCTAGATAAAAGTTTACATTGTGCCCTTAGTTTAGAGAAAATTAAATAATTATTGTTCGTACTGGATGATTTATAATTATAATGTGCTAACTTTTTTGCCAAAACTAGTTTTTTTATGTCAGTAGTAAACCAGTGTGGATATTGAAAGGAGTACAATGGCTTAAGAGGAACGTATAAATTTAATGCTGTATACAAGTGTTCATAAAAAATCGTTATCGCAGAATCAATGTCTGACACATCAAATACCAAATTCCAATTTATACCATTTAAATAGCAACTGATTGCGTCAAAGTCTGCATTTCTAATGTCATAATTATTTATAACAGGGTGGTCAAGGTTACATCTATTATCAATATTATTTTTTTAGCCATTACATGTAATTGTAAAGGTGGATGATAATCATCAATAGGTAAAACAAAATCATTAGAAAGACTTAAAGCATAATCAATCGAATTACAAAACACCAAATCTAGAATAGAATCATGAACATTAGTAAACTCATTTATTTGCATCAGATTAGCGACATCACATGTGTCAGAAATAATCGACGATATTACTTCATGCTGCATGACAGAAGTATTTTTAGGCAAACAAGGAGGACCGTTTTTACTATTATTCCACTTTAAAAAAGGTAAATTAAAATCTCTAAGGATGGAAATATTCGCATTAGGATAAGAGAATACTATATTTTCAATAATTGAACACATGTCAAAATATATATTAGTTGAAGAATTCGGAGGTACATAAAAACAACCCAAAATATAGAGAGTCGAATTTTTTTATGAATTTTATAAAGATATGTTCAATAGTAATAGAATTAAATTATAAGAGAACATTTTAGAAAATGTTTTGATGCAATCAAAACACCTCCCCCCCTCTTACCCGTATTTGTTGATTCACATCTATCTTACCGGAAAACATCGTAATTATTGAATCCAAATTCTTGGGAGTTAATTCCAGGATGTAGCCATGTTTCGGAGAAAATTATGATATTAAAGGGAGAGAGGGGAATGTTTTGACGCAAAGCATCAATCTTAGTGCGAAGACCTCTCACATTTTGATAGTAGACATTGAATATGACAGAATTATTAGTGTGTGTAGGAGAGGTGTCAGCTTCGTATTCACGGTAAAATACCTCATTAGTTATCAATCGTCCTTGTGAGGGTTCGTTAGAATAGTTAAAGTAGTTTTCATCAACCTCCGATTTTTCACTATGACAGGATTCCCAGACCGAAACACTATTTTCAAATTCTCTTCCCCATCCAATTGACGTGCTTCCAGCTGATTTTTGAGAGCAGAAATCTCGTTCAGTTGCATTCTTGTACGGTCCTGAGAGAGATATATGTTTTTGATTGTGTGTGAGTGACTCACGTCTCGCTTGGCAGCTACAAATATTCGTAGAGCTGCTTGTGCCTTCTCCTCCGTCGCAAACGTAAGTTTGCTTGGGCAGGGCTTCTGCTGAGGAGCCTGCGTAATATTACCAAGTATAGTGGCTTTCATATTCTCGAGAATGTCAGGAGGGACGAACACTTTCAGGAGCTTCAGGACAGCTGATTGCAAATTATTAGAGTTGTTACTGGTTTTTGGAGTATTAGTAACTAGTTCATGCTGCTGAAACCCGAACAAAATTAAATTTTTTTTCCTTCGCCCACGATCCTCCAGTTCATGCATACATTGATTTACAGTTGGAGTTGGGATACTTTGATTGAGATTAGAATTTTCCACAGATAACACCTTGCCTTCTACAATCAACATACGATCAAATAATTCATCTATTTTAATCTCACTTGCGTTTATGCGTTGACTAACATCATCCAATTTAGTGTCAATGTTGTCGAATCTCGAGGAGAAAGAATTTCTCATATCTGCTAATGCTTTCAAAATAGTGTCGTCGTTAGAAGAGTTAGGAGAACGTTGTCTTGGCCTGCAGCACTTAATGTATGAACCATCAACATTAGTACCCGTTTGCATAGCACAACTAGGGTGATAAATAGCATCACAACCTGAGCAAGAGACTGAGTCTTTTACCAGGTTCTTGCCACACTTGTAACACTTGTTAGAAGACATCGTAAATTAATCCAAGTAAATTATAGGTTAGGTGCACGAGAAGCACAAACCAAAGCACAAAAAACTGAGAAAGAATGTCACTTTTTGAGAGAAAGAAGCACACATATCAGATAAAAACTAATAGTTCACGAAAAATGTGAGTGCACAATTAGTCCGAATATCCAAAACACAACAAACAATCAAGAAAAATCAAGAGCGAGACGCGAGCACGTGTTAATGTATAGCCACCTAGGGGCAATTATTTAATTATTTTTTAATTATTTTTAATTTAATAAAAATTAAATTATTATTTTAATAAAATAAACAAAATACAAAATTTAAATAAAATATTGTCAATTTTGGATAATTATAATAATTATTTATTTATTCGAAAACTGTAATTTAATTAATTAAAAAATGTAGTATCTAATTCATAACTTTTTGAAATTTTTAAAATTGATAGAAGGTTATATATTATGGAAATTATAATAAAAGAAATTTAGTTCTTCTTTTTATACTTATGCATATTTAAAAAAAAGTATTAAATTAAATATATATAGTCCAACTATCCAATTTTTTTACTTTAATTATGAAAAAATTAAAATCTCTATTATCCGAACTTTCGATTATCCGAACCTAGCCTTGCCTAGGTTAGTTCGGATAATCGAGGTTTCACTGTAATTAATTTCGTGATGATTATGCAGGACCGATAAATCTAAAAATTTTTGAATTGCATATTTCATCTTCTCTTTAAGTCATTTTAAACTCCTCATGTTTTAATTTACTGGAAATTAAAAATAAAACTTAATGTAGGAAATTATTTGCTGATTAAGAATTTTAATTAAGGAAGATTTCGACTATATCAGCAATTAGTGACATCCATCAGACGTCAATTGAACTCTTTGGTTTAGAGTCAGGTGTTATTCTTAAGATAATTATTCCGATATGGTTGTCGGTAAATAATTATATTTTTGAATTTAATTTTTGATCTGAAAAAATAAGCTGCGTGAACGACTGCACTGTGCATCTGTGAGGACTCGAACCCCAGTTAATAGCTGCCTTTCGCGGGACTAACGCCTACCAATGCACCATGCCAACACAGCATTGGTAGGCGTTAGTCCCGCGAAAGGTTGCTATTAACTGGGGTTCGAGTCCTCACAGATGCACAGTGCAGTCGTTCACGCAGCTTATTTTTTCAGATCAAAAATTAAATTCAAAAATATAATTATTTACCGACAACCATATCGGAATAATTATCTTAAGAATAACACCTGACTCTAAACCAAAGAGTTCAATTGACGTCTGATGGATGTCACTACACGGAAAAAATAAGTTCAGCAGATTTTACGAAACTAATTTCGCACTAGCGGATATTTAAGATTCCTTGACGAAGTTTTTCAAAAACCCAGAAACTTTCACTACTTTAAGCAGAACAATTTTCGAGAAACTGCAACCAGTAATGTAATTTATAAAACAAGCTTGAATGTAGAAATGTTTCGTATTTTCTGGTGAACATTTTATCAGAAAATGGTAAAAATGTTTCGTGCAATCTAAAAACGCTTGGTTTGAGTTTTCACTTCGCTGTCTATCGTTAATTCTCGATCACAGAGTTTCGTAAAATTCTATACGGGGTGTACCAAAAGTCGCGTTATAAATAGATATGTTGAAGCTTGTCTCGTCGCGTCGGTATTAACTTGTCTGCTGTATATAGAGATAATATGCGGAAGGAAAAAGAGAACTGCTTTACCTGCCGGTAACATTTGGATAATTGTTTTCTTTTACGTATTTCACATTTCATTGTTCCAAATTCGTAACATTTTTTATGTGATTTTGTAATCCAAACTTTTAATTATTATTAATTTCTTTTAATTTACATTCCAATAAATTTTATAGTTTATCATAATATTTACCGATGACAATAAATGTACATATATATTAATTTCTCAAAATTTTAATTAATTCTAATTTTTATTAGTTTTAACTGTTATTACTTCAAATTTTAGACAATTTAATATTAAAATTTTTTGAGTTTGAATTTAATTTTGAAATTTTTTTTGCAATTTATTTATAATTTAAAATTAAGAATAAAATAATTTTTTAAAAATTGAAAAATTTTATAGAGATTTTATAACCAATTATAATTAAAAAATGTTATTTTAAAAACTATAAAATATTTTGTATAACTTTTAAAAAATGATTTTTTTAAAAATTAATATTCAGTATATTGACATTTCTCACAAGCGCAGTTTTAATCTTCTCAGTTAGTATATAAAGAAACTCAATTCTTTCATCTACAAGTGCGAGTTATATTGTATGTGCGTTGCGTCAGAATTCGTTTATATGTATGCGTATTTCCGTTAAGTTAGTGTCAGAATAAAATAAGCCAATCCAAGCGAACCATTGCGTTGTAGAGGGCAGTCACATGTGTCGAACCAATCATCTATCTCCTATACAAGACGAGAAAAAATGATCTTGAGAGCTCATTGGTACATTAAGAAATTCTTTTTTCTGCTTTATTCGTTTTTGTCTCCGTGAATATTTTTTTCCGTGGTGCATGCGCTTCAGGCTAAACATTTTACAAAACTCTTGAATCAGAACGTCCAACCGATCATTTGTGAATTCCATAGAATTTTTTTTGAGTTTTCGAGAAACGCAGTCATCATATATTACTATTGATTCTGTTTTATCTTATACTAAACTCCTCTCCGAATCCGCTATTCCAAAATTAGTTTCGTAAAATGTACTAAATTAATTTTTTCCGTGTAATTGCTGATATAGTCGAAATCTTCCTTAATTAAAAATAAAACTTATTTTGAAAATATTGCAGTAATAAAAATAAAAATATGTCTACTCTCAGTCACAACGAATTTTGTAACTTTGTTGATCGCAGAAGGGCAAACTTCTCACCATTATAAATTAATCTCAATGTATGCTATAATAAAATTTTTTAACAAAATTTTCTTAGAATTTATAAATAACATATAAAAAGTTTAATTACATTTCATTTTTGTTAATTATTAAAATAAAAATCTAATTTAAAAATCAAATCGACTTTACGCGAATGGTAGTTTATGGTGAAAAGTTTTCTCACTTTGTATAAAAAATTCCCAGAATATTTAATGTTAAAATTTAATTTCCAAAATAAATGGGTGCATCGTAACTGGGTTAATATTTTGAAAAACAAATTTGTTGAAATTCCTTTTCAAATAAATTGGATATTTTTATTTTCATAGTTCTACTCCTTTTACAACTCTAATAACTTGAAATTTATAAATTTATAATTTATATTATATATTAAACTATCATTATTAATTATTATTTTAAAAATTTGATTTAAAAATATATGGTAAAATATTTTGTCTAGTATTTTTTTTAATTCACTCAAGATATTTAGTACATGTATCTTTATCCATCATTTATGTGTAATTTCAGCAAAAAGAATAATGATTGAAAACAAAACACCACTGTTAAGCAGTACTAATGTTGGTATTGTTTCATATATGGTTATACTGCTGACACCAAGCAGTTCCTTTTGACATTGAGGTTCTCTTGCTGCCCATCTATTTAACTCTCTGTGACGAATTCCCATATCATATAGTTTTGCTAATCTGTAAAAAACGTGCATTTTTTTCAGATTTACTTTTCGAATGTTATTTTTGTTTCTTTTATATTGCGTGATAAACTTGAATTTATTGTAACAGAGCCATACAAAAGTAAATTCAGAAAAGACTTTTCTCTATCAGTAAAAAGTCGCTGATTAACAGAATGCAGCTGAATTAAACATTATACGCTCGAAAATCAGTGCATATACGCTGTTTCATCAGTGTATACACTGAGAGAAGTCAAGTACAGCATCTGAACTCTGACGTACAGCAGCCGCGCGAAATGTGGGACAGATGTGGCCGATGTTGTGCAGAAGGTTAAAGGCCAACGCACAACTGCTTCGCGAACGTCGTTCGCGAATGTAAAGCATGAGTTAGAAAAGGACACAAATGTATCTCTGTCCTTTTCTAACCCATGCATTGCGTTCGCGAACGAAATTCGCAAAGTAGTTGTGCTTAGGCCTTAAGAATCTGAAACATGTGCAATAAGGCCTTTCTCCAATAGGTTCTCAAAACTCTGCGTTGCGTCGGTTGCTATGTCAACATATGCTAAAATCAACGCAACGCAATCATTCGCAGACAAACACAGAGTTTTGAGAACCTATTGGAGACAGGCCTTTACAGAATCGGTGCTAAACTTTTCTTAGTGCGGATATACGCTGATTTAATCAGCAATACATACTCTGGGCTTTGAATCAGCGACTTTTCGCTGATCCAAATTTAGAGAGTTATTTTTTTTAAAGCTTTGAAATTATTTGTAAATGTTAACGTATGTCTAAATTTTTGTCGGAACATTAAAGTAGAACCAAAATTGATATGTAAATGTTATCAGCATTTTTTTCTGACACTAAAAAATACACTAAATACACTAAACAGAAATCCTGAAAAACACTTTTTTAAATAAAAAAATTGGTTCGCTCTAGTTTTACCGAAAAAACAAGAGTTATCGCGCTTTTATTGAATAAAAAGTTCAGTAATAATGATACGACAAAATGCCAATAAACTTTTTGATATTATCAATTACACAGGTTATAATATCTTAGTGTCTTAACGAGCGTACCTCTCCCCTAATATATTTAAAAACCTGCACAGACTTGGTATTTATAATTAATAATTAATAATCTAATGATCTAAACTTATTTAGAAATCATTAGTTTAATATTCAAACCAACTTATTGTGCGGTAAAAATCGTATTAACATTAAATAAAAAAGTTAATATTATAAGTGTTAAAAAAAAGTACGCCTGCGACAAGTTACCCTATCCAAGTGGGTAATACGGCGCACTCTAAACCTTAAGTATTAAAAGAAAGGGATATTAATTATAATGTTAAAAGAAATTAATTTTTATGCAAAAATGTATTTAAATTTATTATTATACATTAAATAATTTATATATTGTATATAATGTAATGTGAATGTAATAATCAATTCTTGAATAATTAAGCATATAAATAGCTAAAATATACTTGTTTTAAACAAAACTTAATTTAAATGAACTCAGTAAATTTTTGTAAACCATTCAACAGGTACGAAGTAAGAAATCCCATAAAAACAATTTAAAAGAAAAATTAAAGCAATTTTTTTACTGTTTTTTCACTGTGATCACAATACACGCAGAACATCGAAAAACTACTTTTCATAAAAAATAATTAATTATTAGTGAAAATAGTCTAGATTTTTTTACATAATTTCAAGGAATACATAAATATTGAAAGTAAAAATATTTTTGTTTCTCTAAAATCCATACATTTTTGTGAATGCGAGTGCGCCGAATTACCCGCCTCTCCTCTAAAGAAATCTTTTTAAATTGTTTTCTTTAGATTATAAATATTCATAATACACAATTTGCATCTATTAAAATATCAAATAATTATTTTATGTTTACCATACCCTATTTTAGCGATTTCTGTAAATGGACTTCCTTTGCTAATATAAAGAGGTAGTAATGTTGGATGGACCATGTGCACAGTTGTAATTTCACAAATTCGTTGATTATCAAACAATTTTTCAATATATGGATATAAAATATCCGTTTCTGAATGATATGCAAAATTTCCTTCATATACTTTTCTTATGCCTTCTTCCGGAAGTAGAAACCTTTCAGATTCTTGTGTTGTAAGCCATTTATTTCTATAAAACTGTTTTGTTTCCCAATCGTCTCTCTGTTGATTAGACAAATCTAAAGCTATAGCTTCTGGCGGCCAAAAATTTAAAGAAATTTAAAACTAAATTTAATATTATTCACTAAAAGTGTAAGATTCTATTTGTTGATATTATTATTAACTGTACTAAATTTCTATTTAACTCGTATTGTCAACAGAAATTTGTTTTTAATTAAAAGATTTATCAACTGCGGCACTCAGGCGGGCTTACCACACAATAACAATTTTTTCCGCTGATATTGAGATGGATGACTTTAATAAATTTACTCAAAAAGTATTTCAATTGTTCCTATATTTTATTTTAAATATGTGAACGTCAGGCTTTTGTGCTTTTATTTATTTCAATTTTAACCATTACTTCTGCTAATATTAAATTACTACCAGTGTGCTGTGTATACTTTTACCAAGATTGGTGTGAATGAGGAATTATTAGTACTGGGTATAATAATTACTAAGAAAGACAATATAAAAATATATTTATTATTTATTTAAGTATTAATCTTTTTTTATTTTACCTTTAGATAAAAGTTTAGGTAAATAAGTGGTTCTGATGCTACTTTCAAATTGCTTTTGGAAAGAGAATATAGAGAATCATTCATTTTTATGATTGGCTCATTTAATCTCGCAGAAACCAAGTAGGCTGAATAAAAATTGAATGTTAAAAGACTAAATATTCCCAGTGTTAAAAATCCTACTCGACCAGATGGATTTTCTGGACAAAATTCTGAACCTGTTTTATAAATTTAAGAAAAACAATAATTTAATAGTACATACATAATATTTTATGACTATCGCATTAAAAGAAAAAATCATAATTTGGAGATAGATTTTAGAATACAAGGCATAAATCCCTATTAAAGTAATCACGTGTATATTTTGACATGTGTGTAATATACGTGTAAATATAATATACACGAGGAAAAATTTTTACAAGTGTAATAATTTTTTCTTTGTCCAACTATACACATGGGCAATGAAAGTTTTAGTTTTCTTTGGACTTTTAAGAAATGTAAACAAAAAATTATTTTTAAAATTTTTTATTAACAAATTTTTGTTTATAAACATATTAATTTTTTTTAACTTTCGGCCGAATTTATTTTTTATTTATTTTAAATTTATTTATACCTTATAAAATTGAACATATTTTCCAAAAAGTACAGGGGCCGTTCACAAACTACGTCACACACCTAGGGGTGGGGGGTGTCAAGCTGTCTGTGACGAAGTGTGGAAAAAATTTTTTTTTGTATGTAAAAAATGTGACGAAGGGGGGAGGGGGTCAAAATTAGTCCGAAAAAGCGTGACGTAGTTTGTGAATGACCCCACAGAAATAGGCCTGATGCGTGTTAAATGAGTTTTAAAACACTCTCAAAAATCACTTGCAAGGACCACAGTGGGATTTTTTTACTATTAACTTTTAAACACTGTCTACAGTGTAAAAGATTTAATTTAAAACAAAGAACACTCAAAAAGATTAAAAATTATTATTCGCTGTAGACAGTTTTAAAAAGTTAATTGTAAAAAAATCCTCCTGTGATGCTTACAAGTGACTTTTGAAATTGTTTTAAAACTCATTTAACACATCAGACCCATTTCGGGACTTTTTGAAAAAACTTCTCTATATTATAAAGTATAAATGAATTTTTAAAAAATAAAAAAAAAATTACGGCACAAAATTAAAAAAAATTTGTTGTTAATAAAAAAATTTTAAAAAATTCTTTTTGTTAACATTTCTTAAACGTCGAAAGAAAACTAAAACTTTCATTGTTTGACAACTTTTTCCTAAACTCAATATTTTCGGACTTGTAAGCTACTGAATATAAATCTACAATTACAATTCAAAAATTTCGAAAATTCATAACTCAAAAATTCGGACAATTAAAAAAAAATAAAAAAATTACTTATGTCTTTTTTTCGATATAGAATAGAAAAAAATATTTTTGGCCGATTTTAAGAGGTCGACTAAAATCTCACGTGGAATTGCCCACATGGACAGGGTTTCAATTTCACCTTTTTCAACTATACAAAAACCGATTGTACATGGCCAGTAATACAAAGCTCAAATCTACACTAAGGTAGAAAAATTACATTGGAAAAATCTGACCTGAGAATTGCCCCATCACGTCAGGTTTTTGAGATATTCTAACCTGAAAGTACCAAAAACACGGGTTTTGTCCTTTTTTGAACTCCTGAACAATCAAGAAATTATTTTTTTAAAGTTATTTACGGCATCTGAAAGTACTATTCTTCTTCTTTAAAAAACCTTTTAAAACTTGAAAAAAAATTTATTTTTTACTGAGATATCGTCATTTAAAGTTTTTGAATGTAGGAAAATTTGTCAATATTCGTATACTGACCAGATTCAAAAACTTCAAATGACGATATCTCAGTAAAAAATAAATATTTTTTCAAGTTTAAAAGGCTTTAGAGGAGGAGAATAGTTCTTTTAGATGCCGCAAATAACTTTTATAAAAAAAAATTTCTCTTGATTGTACAGGAGTTCAAAAACCGTGTTTTTGGCACTTTTAGGCTAGAATATCTCAAAAACCTGATGTGATGGGGCAATTCTGAGGTCAGATTCGGATTCAGCACGTCGAAAACCTTCGAAACAGTATTTTCCGGTTCTTGGTTCTGAGATTCGCCTAAATTTTGTCGGCCTGTGTTATTTATTTATTGTTTGTAGGATCGGTCTGTGTAGAGTCGGTCCGTGGATGATTAAAATTTAAGAAAATTGATTTGTTTGTTATTATGTAGGATCGGTCTGTGGTTAATTAAAAATTAGAAAAATTATTTATTGATTGTAAGTAGGGTCGGTCTGAGTAGAGTCGGTCCGTGGTTGATTACTTAGTGGGCACACTTGTTCAAAAGACGTCTTCAAGACGTCTTAAAGACGTCCTATTCATGTTCTATGTCTTGGCCATTAGATGTCTTTAAAGTGTCTAAAAGACGTCTTTTTAATTCAACATTTGAAAATAGAAAAATTTTTATAAATAGAAAATATTATTTACTAAGTTCAACTTGGACTTAGAAATTTATGAATGTGAAATTCATTGGAATTTTTCTAAGTGAAATTCATTTCATTGACAAGTGAGATCGTTAACTTTGTAGAGGTTCATATCTGTCTTGAACGGCTGAGGTGCTTAAGGCGCAGTGTTTCAAGCCCAAGGTATCCGAGTTCGATCCCAGCTTCGTAGGAATTTTTTCATTATTTCTCCACATTTTAGAAAAAATAAAATTAAACTTAAAATAAATTTAATACAATGTTACTGAATTTCAACTTAGAAAATGTTATAAAAGAAATGTTTATTTAAGATCTGAAGGAATGTAAAAAGGACGTCCAAAAGACGTCTTTTAGACGTCCCTTTTATGTCTTTTAGACGTCCAAAAGACGTCTTTTAGACGTACTTTAGACGTCCTTTCTTATGTCTTTTAGACGTCTTTTGGACGTCTTTTGGACGTCTTTTGGACCAGACATAGAACGTCTTTTAGACGTCTTTTAGTTGTCTTTTTGATGACTCAGAGACATTGCCCTCATTGTCCCCGAATCGTCCGCGGACAAAAAGGGACGTCTTTAAGACGTCTTTTAGACGTCCCTGTGCCCACTGGGAATAGATCAAAACAAATGTTAAATTCCATTCACAAAAAATTTAAAACTGATGTTACATTAGAGACTGAGTATTCGAAGTTTATGTCAGAATATGAAACAAAGGGGCATATGCGTTTGTTAAATTCTTCGCATGTTGATAACAATGAAGAACGTATTTATTACATTCCACATCATGCCGTCTGGCGTTTAGTAGAAATGACAAAAAAGGTTTTAATTGTTTTTAACGGTTCTGATAAATCATTCCTTAATAACTCCCTTAATGAAGCGTTTTATATAGGCCTTAAATTACAAAATGATTTGACAGCTGTAATAATGCGTTGGAGGCTCCTCAAAGTCGCCTTTTGTTGAGACATCGAAATGATGTATCGGCAGATTTTAGTCGATGAACGGGATATTGACCTACAAAGAATTGTTTGGCGAAAACCAGGAAGTCACCATGACAGTCATTACCAATTGCTTACATGAACATATGGGCTAACATGTTCTCCTTTCTTAGCACTTCGAACATTACAACAATTATCGAATGACGAAGCAAAAAATTATCCTGAAGCATCCAAAATCCTTCTTGAAAATACCTATGTCGATGATATAATGTCTGGCGGAGATGACAAAACATCTGCTTTGGAACGTCAGAAACAATACAATATGATATACTACATTCAGCAGGAATGCATCTTAAAAAGTAAACATCAAATTATCCTTCCTTATTAGATCAAATTCCTGAATCCGATCGTTTACGTCCAAATTGGTTAGAATTCCATACGGGCAATCCTGTTCAGGCATTAGGATTATCGTGGGATCCTAAGCTAGATGAATTTAAGTTTAAAGCTGTAACTATCGAAACTGATACGCATCCTACAAAACGGAATATTCTTGCCATAATCGCAAAACTTTTTGATCCAATTGGTTGACTCAGTCCTATTAATATTCTAGCAAAGATCTTAATGCAAGATCTTTGGAAAGGTAAAGTTGACTGGGATGCTCCCATTCCTAAAATACTATTGAACCGATGGTTAAAATTTCAATCTAATTTGGTCGACATCAACATTATTCGTTGCCCACGGTAGGTTCACTATCACTCAGGAGATATTGTGGAAATTCATGGTTTTGGTGACGCCAGTCAACATGCCCTCGCTGCTGCAACTTATATCCGCTTTTATTCATCAAATGGCTCTTATAAGGTACAAATTTTAATATCAAAAACACGTGTAGCCCCCCTTCAAACGATATCAATTCCCAAACTCGAACTTAATGCTGCCTTATTAACTGTCAAATTAGTTAACTATGTAAAAGATAAATTAGGATTCGTTAATGCTCCCTGTCACGTTTGGTCTGACTCAGTTAACGACCTAACTTGGATTCAAACCGACAACCCATCTCGCTGGACAGTCTACGTTGCCAATAGTCTCCGAGATTCAACGAATCTCAAAAGGTCTATTGTGGCATTATGTTCCAAGCAAAGACAACCCCGCTGATCTAGCAACCCGTGGTATAACTCCTCATGCTTTATCAGAGTCAAAATTGTGGTGGCATGGCCCTTCATGGCTTTCGCAATCTGAAAATCACTGGCCAGCATTCCCAATAACGAAAATAGTCGTTTTTCGTCCTTGACTCGGTTAACAAGAGTAATCGCTTACTGTTTACGCTTTAAACTCCTTCCAAAGTCAAATTTACTCCACGCTAACCTCATGTGTCAACCCCTTTCCTCTGATGAAATCCAAAGCGCATACTTCGCTTGCGTTTTTTATAGTCAACATAAAAATTTTGTTACTTATATTAAAATCCTTGAAGAAGGAAAGGAACTTAACAGTCAAAATCACCTTACCAGATTGAATCCCTTTGTTGATCAAAATGGAATCCTAAGAGTGGGAGGCAGACTAGCGAATGCTCCTCTACCCTATAATCAACGCCATCCTGTAATTTTGCACGGTAAGAGTCCACTCGCTAAATTAATAATCAATTGAGCGCATCGAACTGCCCTTTATGGGGGCTTCCAGTTAACATACTCATTCGTAGCACGCCAAGCCTGGCTTATTCGCGGTCGCGTTTAGATAAAGGATCATATCCGCTCTTGTATCACTTGCGCTTCCTATCGAGCACAAAGGTCTGAACAGCTCATGGGCAACCTCCCCGTGAAAAGAATAACTATAACTTATCCATTTGAAAGAATCGGCATAGACTACGCAGGGCCCTTTGCTATCAAACGTGTTCCTGGACGGGGGTCACGCACTGTTAAAGGGTACCTTGCTCTATTCGTTTGTTTAGCATCGAAAGCCGTTCACCTTGAAGCTGTAGGTGACTTAACAACTCAATCATTACTGGTTGCATTAGGATTGGTCGTCGAGGCACTCCTCGTGAGATATGGAGTGATAATGCCACTACATTTTACGGAGCTGACGCTGAACTCCGCTCAATGTTACGCGAAGCTGAGATAGATTGGAAGGCTGTAGGAGACCCTAGCTAATCAAGGGATAAAATGGACCTTTATTCCACCATCCGCCCCCATTACGGTGGATTGTCGGAAGCAAATATCAAATCGGCTAAATCCCATTTAAAAAAAATCATAGGTTCAAGACCCCTTACATATGAAGAGTTTTCTACCGTGCTTGTAGAAATAGATGCATGCATGAACAACCGTCCTATTCTTCCACTCACTGTAGATCCGGATGATGTCAATGCATTAACTCCAGCTCATGCCTTAATTGGCAGAAACTTACACCAACTACCAGAAACTACAAGTACAGACAAACAAATTAACTACGCTACTGATTGGCTCCTCATAAAGGCCATGCGAGATCAATTTTGGAGACGATGGTCACGTGACTATGTCCACACTCTTTAACAGAGAAACAAATGGACAAACAGAAATCGAAATCTGCAGGTTGGTGACCTGGTTCTTATACTCGATCCTTCATTACTTCGACACGGAAGATGGCCTCTGGTTCGTACGATTGAAGTTCATACGGGTTTAGACGGGCCCGTTCGTTCTGCAACAATACGAACATCATTTGGAACATATGACCGTCCAATTGTAAAACTCAGTGTACTACCTCTTTCTCAGTAGTGTGAGTTGTTAATATTTACTGACAAGAACGCTACTGAATTTATATCTTTTATTTTGCAAAACCATACATTTCCTTTTTTTGGCGAGTATCAATCTAATTTCTTCTCTTCAGAATTGAAGTGAGCAGGATGTTTATAATTAATGTTCTTAATGCGTTATTTCATGACATTTTTAAGTTTCTACATTCAAACTGCCCCCTACTCTCGTAGAAAGCTCCGCCCACTTTCCTCACCGACCTAGCGACAAGGGAGAGTAAGAGGGCCAGTTTTGATTAATTCTTTGGCGGTACAAGAACCACGAGTTTTGTATGGGAATACCATAATTACCACATTGTATTAGGCAAATAAGTAAGTTAAAATAAACATGATTAATTGTTGATATGGCGTTACTCATTTAATAATCCTATCCTCTGTATAGTTACAAAAAAAGTAAGATCGTATAAAGATATAAGATCAAATTAAAATGTTCATGGCTATTCGCAAAAATGACATTTCGTAAAAATGTCGATTCGCAAAAGTGACAATTCGTAAAAATGGCGATTCGTAAAAATGACATTTCGCAAAAATGGCTTTTCGCAAAAATGACTATTCGCAAAAAAAAGTACTTTAGACGTCCTTTTTTATGTCTTTTGGACCAGGCATAGAACGTCTTTTAGACGTCTTTTAATTGTCTTTTTGATGTCTTAGAGACATTGCTATTATTGTCCCCGAATCGTCCGCGGACAAAAAGGGACGTCTTTTAGACGTCCCTGTGCCTACTGGGTAAGAATTGTGTGTGATTAAAGTTTTTGATATTTAAATTCAAAGTACAATTATAGTTTGTTGGGTCGGTCTGTTGAATTTTGTTTTTTAATTATTTAACTACATTAATACAGTTATGTTTTATAGAATTGGTCTTTGGTGACTTTACCTTTGTGTAGAATTGAGCTTTGTATTATTGACCATGTACAATCGGTTTTTATATAGTTTGAAAAGTTGGAATTGAAACCACATGTCAAAATCTACACGTGTAAATATAGAGGAGTAATTTATTTACATGCGTGTAATGTACCCACATAGCACAATAGTATGAGGTAAGGTTATGTTGAGTACTAATCGTAAGGCTCATAAGGTTACACGATATTGCTGTGGTAGACCTGAGGTGAACTAAAAACTTCCGCCATGGAGGTAAGGTTACATGTTAGGGTGTGGTGACTATATATGATAAGGCCATGGTAACCTTACACGTTAAGGTTGAGGTAACGTTACATGTTAAGGTTGATGTAAGGTTACATGTTAAGGTTGAGGTAACGTTACATGTTAAGGTTGAGGTAAGGTTACATGTCAAGGCTGAGGTAAGGTAATTATTAAGTTGTAAGGTTGAGGTAAGGTTGTGATAAGTTTACCAGTTATAGAAAATATTGAAAAAATAATTAATAAATAAATATTCAATTAAAATGTTAAGTGTGTTGCTCTTCTCTATTTTGGAAACCTGACATGAAGCAGAAAATTTTGAAAACAAATTTGGGGGGACTGGGATTCGAACCCGGGATCGGCGCGCATAAACCTATCATTCTAACTAACTGAGCTAAGTAGAGAACTGGCAGAAGGAAAATTAATGTTGCCTTTAAGGAGTTAATCATCTTCTTGGTTCACCTTAAAGGCAACATTAATTTTCCTTCTGCCAGTTCTCTACTTAGCTCAGTTAGTTAGAATGATAGGTTTATGCGCGCCGATCCCGGGTTCGAATCCCAGTCCCCCCAAATTTGTTTTCAAAATTTTCTGCTTCATGTCAGGTTTCCAAAATAGAGAAGAGCAACAAACTTAACATTTTAATTGAATATTTATTTATTAATTATTTTTTCAATATTTTCCATAACTGGTAAACTTATCACAACCTTACCTTAACCTTACCTCAACCTTACAACTTAATAATTACCTTACCTCAGCCTTGACATGTAACCTTACCTCAACCTTAACATGTAACGTTACCTCAACCTTAACATGTAACCTTACCTCAACCTTAACATGTAACGTTACCTCAACCTTAACGTGTAAGGTTACCATGGCCTTATCATATATAGTCACCACACCCTAACATGTAACCTCACCTCCATGGCGGAAGTTTTTAGTTCACCTTAGGTCTACCACAGCAATATCGTGTAACCTTATGTGCCTTACGATTAGTATTCAACATAACCTTACCTCATACTATTGTGCTATGTGGGTATATGTTCAAATGGACACGCGTAGTTACACGTTTTTATTTTCACTAGAAAAGATATAATGTTATTAATTTGTATTTTGTATAAATGACGTAGGAAAATGAAACACATTACTTTTAAGAACAAGAATAAAATCCGTCTGTAAATCTTGAGTAATTTATTAATCAATTAACGATAGTTTACATAGTTCCTATAAATTGATATAAATTTATCCGTTACTAACAATTTACAATATTTAATATCAATAATATAATCATGAGGCATTGTAAACGTTAAAAACATGAATTTTAAAAAACAACCCAGTGGGCAAAAAACCATCATTGTTTTAAAAACGTTCTAAAAACGTTTTTAAACACATTACTTTTCAGAACTAAATAATGCTAAATAATGTTCCAAAAACGTTCCATTGCTTTTAAAACGTTTTAGAACCATATAACGTTTTTCGGACGTTATTTAGCAGACATGAAACGTACTAAAAACCGTTTATGGAACGTTTTTACAACAATGATGGTTTTTTGCCCACTGGGACGAATTAAAAGAAATCTATACAAGTTCGTAAAGAAAGCGGCAAAACTTGAATCGATTAAATTTTAATGTCACTCTAGATATAAGAAAAAAGGTTAAAACAATGCTGAATGTTATCAACAAAATAGAAAGTAGTAAAAGCTAAAAGTAAAATTTTTGCTAAGTATCACAGATCCTAAAATTGCAAACAGTTTGAAAAATATTGTAGGAGCTGATTTAAATATTCCGTCGACAAATAAGGAGTTTGATCGAAATAATAATCTAATGTCCTCTTCAGTAAAGGAGTGAGAAAAAACGATACCTTCTGATAAGGTAAAAAGATACGCCGGTCTGTCGCAGGACCGTTTTAAGCAGTAAAACGCCTGTTCCAGTAGTATACAGTACGAAAACCTACCCCGTCAGTCATATCCCATGAGTGGGAGTGAGACAGACTTATGCGATTCCCATACTTTCCTATGACTGACGGATAGCTTTTCTTACTGTATATATTTCAGTGGTTAAAAATAATATGAATAACCATCTCTATGTAAAAAGTTGCCTTTTCTACTTGGAATCAGTTCCACAATCGTTTTTTAATTATAAAGTTTTATTTCGACATGATAAATTTTGAAGCAACTTTTGACTTTATAATAAACAACTAATAATACTTCTCGGAAGTTGCTTGCGAATAACAGAAAACAATTTCCATTTAATTTCAAACTGAACTTACAAATTAAACTTCGTTAGAAAAAGAAATGTTTAGAAATTGAACTTTGTTAGAAAAAAAAATTTATAAATTAAAACTTTGTTAGAAAAAAATATTTTATAACTGTTTATAAAGATATATTCTTACTGTATGTGAAATATTTCTAGATCATACCTTGTTGAAAGATTGTGCCATATGTAGTTAATAATGAAATTTTATAACGCTCATAACAACTGGCAATATTTTCCAATCTCAATGTTATGGAAAACAAAATGTTTAATAAAACTGTCATCATGGCTGTTAAATACCAGCATTCCTTTGAAAATGGCGATAAAAATTGATTTACTTTAATGTTTTTGGATTCAGGATTGCGAAAGACGAAACAAGCTCTATTTGAAAAATAAATTTCATCTTATTATTTTTATTATTATTGTTATGTCTATAAAAATTTAGATTAGACTTTTATTTTTTTAAAGTGATTTGTAACGATTTCTGTCCTACTACCCTCTACATGCTAGACAAAACCGGTTTCTATCCCCTCTAACTTTTGGGACCCTTAAAGGTCCATCGCCAACACCCACATCGAAGTCAGTTGATGTAACTGTGTCTATGCTGCGGCAGACCTGTCATTGTTACTCGTCGAATTAGAATACAAAGTTTATATTATATTTCTAATTACGAATAAAGATTGTGTTTAATATATATTGTTAGAGTTATTTAACGAAACCCGTTACAATTTTGGCGATCCTGCCAGGATCCACAGAACGATTCCGCGGATTCAAACACTGTGCGATCTTTAAAGTGAACCGTGAAGTGACGTTTTACAAGAAAAAATGTGCGCATTCTAAATGTAAAATTATATTACGGAAAAAGGGGTTACTAAAGACCCAGTGTAACAACTTTAAGTGTAGAACTTAAGTGTAAAAGAAATACGTTTCTCTTGCGACACTTAAGTGTAAAGAAAAAAAAATAATTTTTTTTTCTTTGGATTCTGAAAATTTAGAACATACCTACTTTTTTTAAAGAAAATTCGAACTGTGAAATTTAAAGAAAATAAATTAAGTGTTGTTCTAGTGTCAGTATACATACTGAAATTGAAATTGTGACATTTTTTTTTTCTCTCCTTTTTCTTTTTTTCAAAAGAAAGGAAAAGAATAAAATAAATACATTTGATATATTATCACACATTTAATAAATCATAAAATTTTTGTGCGCAAAAACATTTTCGGACAGTAAAATTTCAAAAAAAAAAAGGGAGAAATTTTTTTTTTCCTCTTTCCTTTTCCCGTTCAAAAGAGAAAGCTGTTTTCCAAAGGGACTGTGGAATGCCACGCTACAGTGTCTAGCCACGCAACATTGTCTCATCTCGCCAACGTCACCCTGCCAACGTTGCAGAGCTCCTCGCCTGTAGTTCTCCCGCCACGCAACAGTCTTCAACTTTCCAAAATCACCCTGCCAACGTTGCAGAGCCGCCCGCTCGAAGGACCACCAGCTGTGTTACGACTTCTCTTACACAGAATTTTCATCTATTGTAATCAGCGAAGGTATATGTTTATTTTATTGTCAACGTAGTCGAAAAGGATATATATTTCTGAATTAATCAAGGAATTTTATAAAATTCACGTTAAAATATTACCTATTTTCACGTTAAAAAAAAAAATAAATAAATAAATAAAAATAAATAAATAAAAATAAATAAATAAAATAAATAAATAAAAATAATAATTTTTGTTGTTGTTAGTATACAAGAGAGTTAATTTTATTACATTGTCACTAGAATAATATTAAGCTGGCATTTAAATCATATATCCGTTACCTCCGCCAAACTCCATCCCCTAACACTGACAATACTGAGACAGAATTTTCAACTGACACTACTATAGGCACAAATACCAAGATGACAACACCACCAGAAAACGGAGATGTTACCGTTCTTCAACAAATTCTGGGACAGCTAAAATTAGTAGTGGGGAAAATAGATGTAGTAGAAAAGAACATAGATTTGTTAAACGTCGAAAACACAAAAAGGGCCGATGAAATAAAATCAATAGCTCGAGTAAACGGTCAACTTTTAACGGAAGACGAAGAGGCATCGGGTATAGATAGGAATAATATAACATCAGACTCAGAAGAAGAGGACGACCAGAAAATTAAAAAAACTACCACCTTTACCCAAAATGGAAACCTAGCATCTCTCTCACAGAGAGAAAATCTTACAACCTTACCCGACCACATGACACAACTTTCCCCTGCTAAAGATTTGATCCGGACAATAGAAACCCTCAATGGACGCGACGACATGGGAGTTCAAGATTTCATTAGAAGTATAAAATTAGCCCGTCAAGATTGCTTTGAACCATCACTACTCTTGAGGTTCATCATTGCTGAAAAAATCACAGACAATGCAAAACGAGCAATTAGGTATGCTAAAATTGAAACTTATGAAGAACTATTCGATGCTTTAAAAGCTAATCTAGGTCCCACTAGTTCAATAGAATTGTGTCGGAGTCGTTTAGAGAATTGCCGCCAGGGAAACGACACGGTACAGTCTTACAATCTAAAATACAGACAATTATTAAACGACCTGAATTATGCAATTCAAGGAGAATATTCTAGACGATCGGAAAGGAATTTAGCCATTAAATTAGAAGAAAAGGTTGCCATTAAAAGATACATTATGAACCTACGCGATGAAATAAGCACTCAAGTACAACCGTTAAAACCAAAAACATTCCCTGAAGCTCAGCAACAAGCACTTGAAGCTGAAGCATGGCACCGTGAGAGACTGAGAAATAGAGTCTCTATTAATAACAGATTAGCTCCTAGAACAGCCAATCCAGTTTCACGTCCAAATTCTTCATCTTTAAATCAATCCCCAAATTTTTCATCCCAATCAAATTCCTATTCAGGAGCCCAAACTAGTAGACCGTCAGTGGTCAACAAAGTCCCAAATCACAGCATGCCTCTACAACAAAGGGCTCAGATGACATGTTTTTATTGCAAACAAATCGGACATTTACAAAGTCAGTGCCCTAATAGGTCAACGCAGGATTTTCCAGTGGGACAGTACAACCGACGACCTCCTCAAAGAGTGCACATAATAGAAGAACAAGAAGAAGCGAGCAATCTAAATTGCAATATAACTGGAGGGGATCCGGAGGAAACCAACAACCAGAACGAGTATCCGCTATATCCGGAAGAAGACTACAATCAGCAGTCATCCGAGGAGACAAATTGGGAAACACAAGATTATTGGTCGATTCAGGATCATCAATAAATCTTTTAAAAGTCAACAAAATTCCCGCCGGTTTTACAAAGGTCGAAAAGACTAAAAGATTTTGCATGGGTCATGAAGAACACACTTCATTGCATGAAATAACACTGTGTTATTTAGGAGTTTCACATGTGTTTCACATTGTGGAAGAAAACTTTCCCATACCAGAAGACGGCATAATGGGATTACCTTTCCTTCACCAATATAAATATGTCATAACTAATGACAATTTACGCCTCAATGGCGTTCGCCACCCGCTCATCAATGATGGTATCATAATACCACTCCACACAATACAACTAGTTACTTTCCCTATTCGGTCAACACACAAAACTGCGGTCCTTATAAACAACAAATATGTTCCTGACTCTATTTATACAATAAAGGAACAATTCGATAAAGATACCTATCTCGAACCCAACAAACGAATATAAAACGTTTCAAACTCAAGAATTCGACATTAAAGCCACTGGAATGAAGCTAAACGGCATCCCGATTAAAGAGATTGATAAAAGGAAATGGTTAGAAAGGAGTAAAAAGGTGTTAGAATATTCACGATTAGATCATTTAGAACCAGAAATAAAAGAACACATGACCAAGATAATTAGTGGGTACCACGACATATTTACACTAGAAGGAGATCCTTTACCTTGCACAAATTTGACTACCCATAAAATTATCCTTAAAGAGGATAAAATTATTAACACTAAAGGTTATAGGCCACCTGAACATCACAAGCCAGAGATCCAAAAACAAATTTCAGAACAAAAAATAAAAAATATAATAATCGATTCCAACTCGCCGTTCAACGCTCCCATTTGGGTCGTACCAAAGAAAATGGACGCGTCTGGTAAGAAGAAATGGAGGATAGTTATTGATTTTCGTAACCTCAATCTCTATACTGATCAAGATGCTTATCCCCTGCCTGTCATTGACGAGATTATCTCGAACCTTGGCAACTCTAAATTCTTTTCTGCTCTTGATCTAAGTTCAGGGTTTCACCAAATTCTTATGGATCCGGAGAGCCAAAAATATACCGCTTTTTCCACACCTGACGGACATTTCGAATACCAACGAATGCCATTTGGACTCAAAAACGCACCAGCCACATTTCAACGAATGATCGACAATGCCTTACGCGGCTTGATCGGAAAAATTTGTTTTGCATACCTTGACGATATTATCATTTTTGGATCCACACTACAAGAACATAATACCAACCTTGTTACTGTCTTTGAAAGACTTCGCACGACTGGACTAAAGTTACAACCTGACAAGTGTGAATACATCCGACCAGAACTGGAATATTTGGGACACGTGATAACCTCCGAAGGAGTTAAACCAAACACTGATAAAATTCAAGCGGTAAGAGATTTTAAGCAACCAACTAACATTACTGAAGTTAGGAGTTTCCTGGGGCTCTCAGGCTATTATAGGAAATTTATCCGTAACTATAGTACCATCGCCAAACCCCTGACCGAACTAACAAAAAAGGGTAACCCCTTTCTTTGGACCAAAGGTTGTCAAGAAGCTTTCGAAAATTTAAAACAATTATTGTGTTTGGCACCGGTATTAAAATACCCAGATTTTTCAGGAAATTTTACTCTCACCACAGACGCTTCTAACGTCGGACTAGGGGCAATATTATCTCAAGACGGACATCCTTGTTGTTACATCTCACGAACACTCAATACACCAGAAATGAATTATACAACAACAGAAAAAGAACTCTTAGCCATAGTGTGGGCCGTTAAAAGGCTTAGGCAGTATTTATTGGGAAAGAAATTCAAGATTCTAACTGACCACCAGGCATTAAAATGGTTGTTTAATGTCAAGGATCCTTCATCCAAACTTATGAGATGGAGATTGAGATTAGAAGAATTTGATTACGAGATAGAATATAAAAAGGGTTCAGAAAATCAAGCTGCAGATGCATTATCTCGCGTTTTTCAAATAGAAGAATTATCATCAGTAGACTTAAACAAACAAATCGCTGAACTTGAGGCCGAACTACCTGAGATAGAAGTGCTCGAAAACAATGAAGAACGAGATCTCTCGA